GATCATTCCGTCTTGGGGCGGGAGGAGAGCAAACCAGAAATCCAATTTTCGAGCCACCCACTCTGTCACACGACTGGTTTGAACCGGATTTGCGCCCATTTTCCCTGCCCTGGCTGACATGTTGGCATCCTCCTTCAAAACCCATCTTCAATCCCACGAGGATCCGCAGAAAACAGTACTCGACTATATGACATCCACATCAGTTTAGAGTTCCTATGAGTTCCTCAAACACACTTGTAGGATCTTCCTCTAGACTCTAATCCCTTCCAATCCATCGTGAATCGGCCACGGCCGCCCGGGCCCTCCTGCTGTTCCGGCCGCAGCTCCCGGAAGGCTTGACAGGCATCCTCGTCGAAGCATGCGCTTCGAAGGAAGTGGCCCACCTCCTGCGCGGCTGGGCTGCCAGGTGAGATGAGGAGGAAGTTCGAAGAAGGCAAACAGAAAGAGCAGCTTCTTGTTACTAGTAGCGATGCCCTTGCTCGTAGCAGCTTCTTGCTCCTAGTAGAAAGGCCAGGAGCCCCTTGTCCCTAGTAGCATCCTTGCTCCTAGATGGAGGAGTTTTGGGGCCGTTTTTCGGAGTTTGGGGAGATGCGAACTGGATGCTGGAGCCTTTCCCATCCCGCCGCTCCGCTCCTCTCGCTGCATCCCTCCGCCTCGCCCTTCGCCCTTGCCGTAGCCCTTGCGGATCCGAGACATCAACACTGCCGACGTGTTCTTGGCGCCCTTCCTTGACATGGGACGCTGCTGGCAGAGTGCCCATGGATCCCGTGCGGACACCAGCCACTGGGTACCGGGGTTTGCTTTTGGGACACTGCTTGAGCGATTGGAGATGACAGAAAAGGCTGTATTTTCTCTTTGTAAGTGTTATAGCCATCAACCAGGTCCGAACGTTGACGTTTCATCTGTGGTATCGAAACTGCCTCACATGGCCCTCATCAGACCATCCAAGTAGGGCCCCTCCCCAGTAAAGGAAGTTCCTTTTGGGGTCACCTAACTAGGAACAAGAAGCTACTAGTTGGAGGCCATCGCTATTAGCTTGGAGGCCATTACTAGTAGCAAGAAGCTATTAGTAGCTATTTTTGCTACTAGACGTAACGGTAGTCAAGCCAATTTTAGACATCGCCGTGCTTGGCCGTCCAGGGAATCCACATGGCCGTCTGTTCCACCACGCCGGTGAAGGGCGTCGCCGTCGGGTGGGCCAGGCGGCAAGTCGGCGGCGACGATCTCCAGCTGTTGTTCCAAGGGCAAACTCCGCAGGGCGCTGGCGACCTCGATGGAGATCTGGTGCCGCGCCAGGAAGTCCAAGACCTCCAGCGAGCGACCGCGACTCGGAGTAGAGTAGACCGCGTAGTGGTGCGGCACGAGTTCTGCGGCACGTCGTGGGGAGACACGAAGTGGACTCCATGGACTGCCCTGGAAGTGGACGCCATGGCGACAGAAAGACGCCTGACGCTTTCCGAAACCCTGCACGGTGAACTCCACCTTCGTCATGGTGAGTGTCTGTCTGCAGGAGCTGGTCAAGCGAGCGTACTGTCAACTGAATCGGATCTGTAATCGAACTCTTTCTGCCACCATCGAATTCAGAAAAACACTTGCACTTTTTTCGGTTTCTTCCCTCTTCAACACGTATGCTCTTCCCACCCCAACACCACCAAAACCAATCCCCCCTACCCCCCGCACCCGCGCCGCACCCGCCGCCGCAGCCGCGCCGCACCCGCCGGTGCCTTCTTGGACGCCTCGAGGCCGGCGGCCTCGCCCGCAGCCACCAGGGCGCTAATGCGGTCCATCAGCGCGTCGTAGGCGTGGCCGTCGCCTGAGACAACGAGGTCGTTGGAGATGACGAGGCGCTGCTGCTCCGGCGACAGCTCCCAGAGCGACTGACAGGCCTCCAGCGCACGTGGTGCGGAAAGGGGTGGTGGTGCTGTTGGGAGCCGTTTGGAAGGGCCTAAGGGGGTGAAAAGAACAGGGAAACGACCCAAGATCTGGTCCTGCAGCACCAATTGAAGGTGAATTTCTTCTAAACCTGCCTTGGGTCACAGGCCCCTCAGGCGAGGCACTTCCGACTGGAACACCACAGCGTGTGGATCAGCATTTGCGCTGAACAACAGGGATTCTGACCTCAGCAGGGAAGTGGGGAATATAGCAGTGAGGGGCACAGAATACTTCAAACAACTCAGAAGCACTACTCGGCTCTGCCTCCACGTTGATGGAGTGCCGTTCCAGAAAAGCCTCCACGCTTGCACGCAGGTCTTCTGGTGGCGGTGGCGGCGGCGGAGGTGGTGCTCCTGTCGCGCAAACGAGAAACCCCACTCCTCCAATTCGGTGGAATGCAAATAAGGTTCTGTAAGTCTGAAGAGGATTTCTGGGGATGGTTTTCGTTGGGTCACTCTCCCCATAAGAGAACACAGGAAAAACAAAAGGTCTAAAAAAAGGTTTGCAACGTTTTTTTTGTTTTCCCACTATATAGTTCCCCAGGCCACAAGCTGACCACCGACCCCCTGGGTTTGGTTCGGACGAGTTCGACCAGTCTACAGTCTACACCGGGGGCGAGATTTCGGTCTATACCAGAAATGCACCCCCAAACGGTTTTGGGATTCCGAACTGTCTGGTGGCGAGGAAATTCACACCACTCTTCCCTCCCGAAATCCTGCTAGGAAGCAACAGCCACCAAACATGGTGACCCTTGTCTTTTTCTTCCTCCTTGGTGTTTGTTTGCATCTTATGAACCAATATGAAGCCAACGACATGACCTCCAAGATTTCCTGCCCCTGTTGCCTTCGCTGCCTTCCCCCCATCTCAAGTGAGAGGGGGCCATGACTCCGGACCCATCCCTGTCCTTCTAGTCCATTCGGCTGTAGGCCCTTGGCACGGCGGATCCTGGCAGAACTTCCAGGACAACGGTCGAAGCATCGAACGGAGCATTTCGGGCATCGCTACGAACGGGGCGAAACTGGCCTTACTACTAGGAGCAAGTAGCTACTAGGAACCTGGGCATCGCTATTAGCAGCATTCTTACTACTATAGGAACAAGACGCTACTAGGGGCTCCTGGCATCGCTACGAACGGAACAAGAAGACCAGCTACGGTGCGCTCTGCTTCGTGTCCTGCTTATCGGTGCCGAGTGGTCCAAAGAAACGAGGAGATCCGGCCATGTTCACAGCGAGCTCACGAACAACTACCAGCACCGAAACCAACAGGTCTCCGAAATGGAGGGTTGGGAAGGGCCCTAATTAACAGGTTTCAATTGGTGACCTGGCAGTGAGGTGCTGGTATACAGTCTTGATGAATATAACCCTCCACTTGGATTTGTTAAAACCTCTCCATGTGAAGGGTTGATATAAACTCAGTCCAAGAGCTACGCCTGATAACCTCCCATGGCGCTCCAACCTGTCGACCCTGCCCATCCTCGACAAGAGCACCGCTGAGGGGTTTTGCGCTCGTGTGATGCCGCCCTCGATGACGTAGCGCTGGAGCGGGGGCGGCAGCAAGCGCAAGGCAGAGGAGGCATTGTCATCAATCTGGTGCTGCTGGAGAAACCTGGCGCTGGCGGCGGCGAAGTGGGACCGGTGACACGAAGGGTGAGTGCGAATAGGAGATGTTGTGGACATGAAAAGGAAGAGCAACATGACCTTGCAAGAGTCCATGTCAGGACTTGGGGGGCCGTTGTGACTTGGAACTGATATCTTTGGCACCTGGTGCTGCCTCCTCTACCTCCCGGTGCTCCGTTCTTTTGTGGGCCAAGATGGGCTAAGGAGCTCTTCCACAGTCACCGCCAGCTGGATGTCATCCACTTCGCCCATGGCACGCGCATCGCGTTGGGCCGACCGCGTGCGGTCGGCGGGCGCCGCGCCCACAGCGCTAAGGTTCGAGGTGTTAGCTTAGTCAGCTTAGTCCGCAAATCTGGAGGACCATCGAATTGTGACATGTATATCTTCTGCCAGAATTTCCAGTTCTTATCTGCAGATATCTGCAGATCGAACTCGAACCATCGATGAGTTGACTGCTAGCTAGCCTAGCTGTGGCTTTCCTGAATTTCTTGGGGGCTGACTTGAAGTCCCTCCAATCAGCTGGCCAGGTACCCATCTCGGGCCTGCTCACTGTGGCGATTTGAGAATGCGACCCCCTGTCCTTCAACAAACCTCACCGTTGGTTTCATTGTCATTGGTTTTCTTCGGACTGGATAGATGCCCCACCTGCTCTAGTAGGATGTTCTCTATAGGCTATAGGTGTGTTATGGCGTTTTCTATGCCCTATAGCTGCTTTCATGTCAACCATGATCTACTACATTGAAGCCATCCAGAAAAGGCTTCAGGCGCGCGCTTTCCTCGTCCCAGCCGAACATGAAGCCCAGCCCTGTGGGCTTCGGTGGTGGTGTGTGGCCCTGGCGGGGGGGGGTGGGGCACGGATCTCCGTATCCACGTCCGGACGGATCGAGTTCCGGAGTCTTCCCCTTTCGACCGTGTTGTTTCGCTCGCCCGGGGAGTCGAGACCGGAGACGGTTGGAGACTCAGTTTCACACACCGAGCCAAAGGGGGGGTTGGACTTCTTCCAACCGAAGGGGTTGGTCATACATGGTCATACATGGTCATACATGGTCAGGGTTTGTGCTCATAGTGACTCATACCCTGCTAACCATCACATGACCCATCCTGCAGTATCAGGATCATGGCGGTGCATGCCAGTTGTTGGAAGTGTAGAGAAGGCGAGAGAAGAAACTGGTCAAGGAGCGCAAAGGTCTCGACAACGGAGGGTCCCCAACAAAAACAAGAGCATGGAGCTTGTGCTTACCCCCAATAATTCATAGCCCCTCCCAGCAAGGTTCGCAAAACATCCTCTTGCGCATGCGGCAATGTGGGTTTTGAGGGAAAGCAAGCTAATAGCCTGTTCTTTTTCAACAGCATTACAACACCCGACAGGCTTTGAGAACGAAGAGAACTCCGGACCGACTTCCACCCCCACGAAGCACCCCGACGACCCATCCTTCTCCGGGCTCCCCGGGCGAGTAGATGCGAAAGGCCGAGGATTCCGTATCCGCCGACCACATGGCCTGGATGGAAGGGGGGGTGGATGATGACCACATGACGGGCATGGTGATGATATGAGTGGTGGAGAAGGTCCAAAGGACTGGGGGTCATCACGCCGCGACTTGCGGATCACGCCAGCCACCCCAGTCCTCAATCCAGTCCTCAGTCATCGTAAAAGCAGGATCCTTCGGGGCATGGTGTTGAGTGCAAACATCTGAACACCACTGAAAAACCATGCCAACATGGAAGACTAAGTCCAAGCAGTCCTAAGTCCACTGAAGACTAACATGGACCCTGAAAACCACTGCTCTGTAGAGCATCGTCTCAAGGTGCCAGGTCTGCAGAGCAACCCGGGTCTCCGGCGTGTCCGTTACATGGGCCTTCAACCTGAACGGATGGTGCCACCGACAGACTGGACAGACCACTGGGAGGTGACGTTGCAAGCCCAAGCGGGCCACGGCCATGGGGCGCGTCATCCGGCGGCAAGCAAATCCATCGCGCCGCGTGCCGCCTCTCCCCACCGGTACCGAAAGCGTCAAACGGAAAGGGGAGAAGCTTTGGTGATACACGTTGAGATGGGCTTGGTAGACAAGGCTCGCCAACTTTTTGGTGATAACGCAAAATCGATTCAGCATTTTTTCATTTTTGCGGAAAAGACACGCCGTGTAGCGACAGGCAGGGGAGCTTGTAACCTAGTGGCAACCACCTAGAAGCGTGGCCTTGTTGAAGGAAAGCTCGGTGCCCACCTGCAACTGCTTGCTGCAGCTGAGCAGGGGAGAATTGCTTTGGGTGAGTGCCATGCTGCTTATACAACTGAGGCATTTCCAGCGCTCGGACCGGCCGTCTCGGCTGCTCGGCCGCTCTGCACCTGCGCCAGTCCGCACAACTGAAAGCATCGGCGAGCGGCGCTGATCCACGTCCCGTCCTCGTGTCTCTTGGATCGTCTCATTCGTCACGAGACTTGAGGCGGTAAACTTGCCTCATTCTTCACTCATGTTTCCTCATTGCCTCAGCTTTTCGGGATGCGCCAGCGCCAGCAAAAAGGCTTCAGCAAGGCTTGGAACTTGCGCCTCCTTCCCGGTGATCCGCGGCACACATGTGGCTCCTGTCGCGATGAGTGTACGATGACAAGCTTGATCCGAGACCTGGCTGTGTTGAGCACGAAGCTCAATCTGAGATCACCCGCCTTGGCTTCGTGAACTGAACACCCAAGAATGACATGAAGAAGCACGTTTGATGGTTGATCACCTTGCGCATTCAGTTCCGTTGTGATGGAGGATGTGGGTGGGAAGGGATTCATGAATTCCATGGTGCCCTCTACCCAGGGATGAGCTGCCCCCATCCGACCTGTTGTCTTTTTCCACCCCACCCACCGACATCCCTTGGACCATGTGCCTTGACCATGTTGAGCACGTAGACGCCATAGAGACATTCAGAGCTACTGACATACCTCGAGCGCAGCGCTTCGCGGGGGGTCCAGGGACTCGGCGACTCAAGACGATGCGAAAAGGACCTGTCCCAAAGCAAGAGACCATAGTGCAGTGGGTCCAACGACCGGGTGGTTGGTTTGACCCTTGAAGCCCAAAAAACACCAAAACCTCTTTGCAAACCTTGACCCCAAACAACACCGTTTGTCTTCATCCTCAGCTTGCAGCTCCGATCCTCCAAGAAAACTGGAGCTGCTGTTGGGCCCTGTTGAACGGCTTGGTCTTCAAGAGCTGAAAATACTAAAGCCATTATGTAAAAGGCTACTACTAACAAGAAGCTACTAGGAACAAAGGGCATCGCTACTAGGAGCAAAGGACGCTACTAGGGGCTCCTGGCCCTCAAGAGCTTGGTCTCAAGAGCTCTCTCAGTACTTTCCATCCCTCATACCTCACCTACCCCCAGGGCTGGAAGAATCAATGAGAACCTGAAATCCCAGCAGCTGGAGTTTCTCCAACATCTCCATCTCTTTTTTCTTCGTCGCACTGTGAAAGAACAAAGGGCATCCCTCAGTTGGGAGATCCGTCCTCAGCGGATGTGGGGCCAAGATGCATGGACATGGCAAGCTTATTGTCGAAGGTGTATCCTGGGAGAGCTGGGCATCTTGCTATGTTAAGGACTTCAAGGCGGCTGGCTCATAAGCCGTTGGCAGTACAACAGTCATCCAGATATGTAAAGATACACATTAACATGAGTCAACGACTGAAACGAGCATGTTGAGACGTAAAAACATAGTAAGCAAGAAATGGTTGAAACGTCTTGGGCCGAATGCCAACTCCAGAATGCTTTCAGGCCGATGAGGTCCTTTCCAACATCCATACCGAACCACTTGCTTCAAAGATGACGGTGGAATCACAGGTGCAAACATAGATCATAGAAAGTACAATACCCAGGCTTGGTCAGCATCCACCCTTGTGTGCTGGAGGCCACCCGCAGGCTGCTGTAGGATGCAAAAGTGACCAGGGGATGATCTCCCTGATTCAGTTTTTCAGGACAAACGGGTAGGCTGGGTTAGACGGCTCTTCACTCGATCGCCCCAAAAACATCAACACCCAAGACATGTGCTGATCTCTTTTCTGCTACACTGCTACGAAGGTCTCTGGATTCGGATCTTGGGTGTTTTTCATGGGTGTGCTACGAAGGTCTTAGGTGTGGAAGTATGCATGAATCGGGCAGTATGTAGCAGGATCTCCTTTGATCCTCTATCTTGGGGATCCATCTTTCCTGCACAGCTTGCCTCTCTTGCGCATCTTTTACCAGAACTTTCTCATCTACTCCCACCCCTAAAAAACCTAAGATACTACTACATGAAAACACGTGGATATATACAAGAACTTAGAATGCTTTTTTCCCCGTTTGATGACCCGCCAGCAGCTTTGTTTTCAGCTATGTCACTTAGCAAATCCAACCACCAGGAGGCATCTGGACGGCTAGAATCGTCCTGGCGTGCAGAACAAACCACCACTTCACAGGCTGGACATGCTCCTGTGCACGTTTGGACACGACAAGAAGACTCGTGCACATGCAGCTGTAGGGGATAATAGATTGAGTTTCCTTGCCTTGGTTTCTTTTCAGAATATGGTCATTTTGTTTCCGTTCTTTTTTCGGTTGATACTCACTGCCGGTCTTGGATTTGCTCCAAAGACCGCACGTTTCTGCCATCCCCAGCTTGAATTGTCGAATGGGATGTCGCGACATCCAACTTTGAGAAACGCACCTGAAGAACCCCTGGTTTCAATTTTCATACAAGGCTCACTCGGCTTCAACAGAAAAGCTGGGTCGCGAACGCTCCAAGACTGCGAATTTCCGATGGTTTTTGCAGTATGGAGCTTTTAGGCAACATCAGCTGAAAACTCGTCCATGACGGTTCTTCACAGAAGCGAAGAACCGCTGACCAAAACCACCAAAACCGTCAAAGTCATCGGCCTGCAGGGCTTGCAAAAGCCTTGGCCAATCCAGGGTACTGCGATTGGTGTACGCGCAATCCTCGGTGCGATGCACGATACGATGTGCGTGAGATGAAGGGACTGTGACAGTGCTAAAATCCACAGGATTTGTCTTCAAGAGTTCGGTTCTGCTTGATCCATGAGGTCTGCCTTTTCTCGATTCATCCCCTAGACATGTGGAACCACCGTCTGCTCGTGGAACTATGCGGGGCTCTATGACTCTATGCACTACCCTTGTCTTGAAGAAAACGGGTCGCCTCTTTTTTAGGCCAAACGGGTCGCTCGGAAACCGAGCAATGGCGTAGAACGCCCCGTCCAAGAGCTCGGATGAAGGTTCCAAGAGAGCTGGGGATCGAGATCGGATGACGTCGTCCATAGCTTGTGCAAACATGGCAGCGAACAGGTTCGCTTCGACACGTTTCAGCAGCACGAGAGAGCCATACAGGACCACTTTTTACATCTGCCCTCTTTTGGGGGACTCCTTTCCTTTATCATGTAGAGTCGGAGGTCTGACTGTGCATACTCTACACCCTCTCCTCCACTGAAGAACGCGAGAGCCTTGTAACATCTTACCAACTTCATCGACCTTTGCGGAGCATCCCTACATCCGACATGTTCGGACCTTTCTTGGGCCAATGGAAACCGAGCAACACGCTGACCCACATCCACCGACACCCACCTACACACCCGATGATTCTAATTTGCAATCTACTAAGAGACTTGGACTTAAGCTGTGACTCGAGAAAAACCAAGGTCGAGGTGATCCCAAACACCCTGTGGATGGTTGAAACCAGGATACCGAAACTGTTGCAGCCTTCTACACGCCCTGTCGCTGTGCCAAACTCTTCTACCTCTCGTACTCCCTTTGACCCCCTCAGTGCCCCTCGTCCTCACACTCCTCCTCTCCGCTTCGGGCGTCGTAGTCGTTGTTCCGAGGGATGCCCGGATAGCTCCAGTCGTAGGAGTGGAGCAAGGCAAAGATGGGCCATTCCGTGCCCATGATCACCGTCAAGGGGATCTGGAACCTCGAGATGCGTCTCTCCGCTCGGAGCGACCCGACCCGGAGCTCGGAGCGAGTTGGAGCATTCAGTGAGAAGACCAACGGCACAGGGCGACTTCGGTTGGTGGTGGTTTGACCCCAAGCGGTCAGTCACCGGGTTTGACCCTGTTTTGGAGCCTGTTATAATCCAGTTCATGTCTGAAGCGGGCTTCAGGAACGGCACATGTTGGAGGCGGACGAGCCTGGATGCACCCCCCTAATATTAATAAACCAGGTATTTGCAAAGTCTCAACAAGGACCAACAACTTTGACCATCATGTAGACATTTAGGCACATAGGTCAAAGCTACCACAAGCTGCCTGTATTGATGTGAACTACAGCCTGAAAAGCATGAGACAGTGCTGGATCAAGCGATGTCGAGATCACGTACTCGACTTGTACAAGCAAGAGATCCAGCGGTCGGCTGTGCTGGATGCATGTGACTGGAATACGGCCGTAGTTACTTCTGAACATCTCAAGAACATGTTTGGCACACCAGGCGAACAACCTTTCAGAACAGCTAACGTGACACCGGCATAATGTGAATGGATGAGACGTGTTTGGGGATGACACGATTGAAATGAACATGTATGGCCGGCATTCGTCCACTGGTTGGCGAGTGAACTCACAACAGATGATTGAAACTCATCTTGAACGGTAACGATACCATGCGGACTCTTTTCTCGAGTAGAAACGGCCTTGTACACTTCTCGTTTGTGCTATATCATCTTAGATGAACATGTATGCAACCTGTCCATGAGTCCTTTTACCTCACATTCGCACGTAACGATACCGAATTTTCGTTGGCGCCCGGCTGGCAAACGCAGCAACAACGGCTCGTGTGTAGCACGGGCACCCTTAGGGAAGACCTTCCCAGCGTGTAACAATGGATCTTCCTATCCAAACCAGTAAATGGTTCCCTGAACAGCAAAATGAGTACTAGCTTGAATGATAGGTATATCATATATCGATCAGCAAATTGTTGTGCAACCGTGAAGAGATTGCGCAACAGGGTATTGCTGTAACAATCTGTAGCAAAGCTTGGCTTTCTCATGTGCACTGCTGGCAGAATCAAAGTCGAAAGCAAGGAGCTTAGCTCCATGGGGCACTCTACAATGACACTTCTGTTGAATAGGGTGAAGGGCTTTGGAAACCCAAAAAACGTCAAACAAATGGAGTGGCCCAAAAGGCTGGGCCCTGGGCCACTCAGCACACTCCGAAAGGCGCATGTGACACACGAGCTCCCTGAAGAACGAACGCGCCCTCACTTGTGCTGGTGAAAACGCTTCGGCGCTTTCGGCAACAACCGTTTTGAGACGAACGAGAACCTCCATGCCCTTTCTTCTCCAAGGAATGGGTGGCAGCTTTCAAGTTCCAAATTTCCAGGGTGATGTGATAATTTGTTTCAGTTGTAAAAGAGCTGGCAAAACGGTGAACTTTCTGTGGAATCAGCCATGTTGCCAGCTCTTTTGAAACAGATCAGCTTTTTCGCTATCAATTGCACATCCGAGGAACAGCTCATTGGAAATCCATGAGGAGTGCGAGACGAAGCATTCGAGATCTCCTGCGCTGTCGCGCTGTCCGGAAGTCGTTGAAGAGCGTCACCGACGGAGAGAAACATCGACACAACGGGGAGAGTGTCGTCACGCTGCTTGGAGGCTCCAAGAGTTTCTTGGCTTGGTCTACTTTTCACTTCCCAAATGTGTTTCATTGGGGGGAGGGTTAATTACGCTGTTTCAATTTCCGAACACATCAAACAAATGGTCCTGGTGGGAAGTGTCTTCACTCGGGTTTCTGCTTGGAGGCCATGCAAAATGACTTCGCTAGGTCCTGCAGCATGCAAGCAGTGGAAACTTAGATTGACACGTTACAAATAACATTTCAAGATTCCTTCATCTTGGGTTGTTGCTATTCACAGGAAAAGTGGATGATCATGGTGAGACTCTGGAACAACAGCTTACCAACCCACTGTCAGGTCCCTTGAATATGGACAACATGTCAGGTCCTTCTGGATGCAATTCATTCAAACAGGTGGGGGTTGAAAAACATGTTCGTCGATGGGAAGCTGGGTCAAAGGAGACACACTGTTTTGGACATCGACGACATGTCTTCGACACATGGCGTTGCTCTCTCTCTCTCTCTCAATCTCTCTCTCTCTCTCTCTCTGTCTGTTCCTCATTTCATTCGATTGGACATCCTGCACCTCGAATCACCATGTCTGACAACATCGTCCCCCGTTATGCCCCGTTCCCATTGAACAGGAGGCTCGACGGCAGTAGCCCAACCGAGCCACAATAAATATACAAACACGAGCAGAATCAAGACATCCTCGAATGGGTCTTATGAATCCAGAGTCGACATGAAGTCAGGAAGAACGGTCATCCATGATGCTCACCAGCTCGCCTTTTCTTTTCAAAACTTTTGTCCATCTTCCTCCCTTCCGCTTGCTCGTTTTCTTTCCACACGTCCTTCAGTAAGGCACATCAAAATCCGTGCCACCTGGAGCGATCGATCGAATTTCGCATCCCATCCGGGCCACGGCGAAACACCCATGGGATTGACGTGATCGTCTCTACAAAAGGTCCGTTACAGTATCGTTGTCATCGTTAACAAGGGGAGTCACACAATGGGACTCACGTTACTGTATCTCCTTATATTCCTTTTCAACAAACACCCGGTTATATTCCGTCATCATCTCTACATAGTAGGAGTGCTTGACGTCCCCCCATCATCCTCTTGCCTACCTTCCAAAGACAAAAGAAACACCGTTTCTTAACAAACACATACCAAACCCGTCGGCTCTTCAATAGGCCGCATTTCAACCACTTCATGCGCCACTTCTAGTTTTTTAGCACCTGACCAAACTCTCTCAGCCGGCCAGCCAGTCACTCACTTACACGCACACACAAACACAAACACAAACCGTATACCGTCTCTCTCTCTCTCTCTCGCTCGCTCTCTGACGCACACACACACACAAAAAGAAACACACACGCACATGTACTGAGGACCACTGTATCGACTCTGACCACTCTCTCTAAACCGGCGACCTGCAAGGTCAGAGTGCCCAGTGGACACTCGGCCCAGGCAGCTCCCAGTGCTCGGTCCAACGCCTCGTTTTGGCGCGAACACGGCGGACGTGGTGGGAGGGATGGTGGTGTTGAAGACCAAGGTGGGTCTGTTTTTTGGGTCAAAAAGAACATGGGGAGGAAGGAGCTGGGAAGTGGTATATCACTGGTGCATCACGGAAGTGACCAAGAGATTCAGCGATTTCACAAAAAGAGAAAGAGAGTTATGCTGAAATTTGCGCCGCGGAGAAAGATGCTACAGTAGATGAAATGATGGGCGCCAAAGTTCCCCGCAGGCGCTCGGTGTTTAAGCTAAACGTGAAAGATCTTCGGAACTTTCAACACCTTCCGGATCCCGGACCTGGTTCAAACACTAGATTGCCCCCCCCCCAATGCTGCAACTGGGTTCCAGGTGCTCGGATCCACCGGATACACCGGATCCAACCGATCCACGGAGTGTTGGAGGCCGCTCGTAGGGTGGAGGCCACAATTTAGGCTCCCATTGCCATTCGGTTCCCATTACAATGAGCTTGGAGGCGCTATCGGATCCACCTCTCAAGGATCTTCGGAAGCCCCCCCGTCCCTGCCTCGAAGCTGGCTCGGAAGCCCCCGCGTGACGCGAGTCCGCCGAAGCGCTTCTCGAGCACGGTCATGACCACGTCCTGCCCGGTTTGTCCAGGGGTGAAGTTTCCATGGCGATCCTTCGTAGTCTGAAGAACAGAGGGCGAACATGTGAAGGGTAGTTCTAGTACCTACAGTAGGTCAATGGAGGAGAAACACATCTATTAAGGTATATTATAATATATTATATATATGACATGTAAAGTATTGCTGGGGTATTGGATGATATCGCATGGTACCAGGACACCTTGCTTGACCTACCTTGGTCGTTTGCTATTTTCACACACTCCCTATCTTTGGGAAGGCATCAACAGCTCCAGAAAAGGCTCTTCCTCTCTTCCCCCACTTGTACTAAGGCAAAATATGGCAAAATCCTTTCCACCGCCCTCCTGCCAGTTTTCAATCCACGCAGCGCAGTGCAACGTCCGCGTGTGCCGCGTGTGGCCGCAGGAGGTGGTCAGGCCGTCGCGCAGCGAGTCCCAATCCTGGAGGACAAATCCGCTGGTGAAACTTGGGGAGCCTGGAACCTGGACCTTTCTATTTATCTTTTTTCGGGGGTTTAACAACAACTTGGAAACTGCTGGGCAGTTACTATACTCTATGACAGTATGAAGTTCCTGGCGAACCAAAACGTCTTGTTTTAAGGGGAGCTCTCTCTTCGATGCATATGCTTGGCATTGTTTGGCCAAGCGAACTTTCCGCTTCGAGGGATTACCTGGATCATCGCACCGACCAGGGTGGAGGAGATGTCTCAAAACAGGCATGGGAAGAAGAACAGGATTCAGTCCTTTTTTTGGATGCCAGTTAAATGCTTTTGCGGACACCCAATATTTGGCTGGTGAACTGAACAAACATGATAGTGAAATGACCTCTCCAAACAAGAATCACGCCTGGACCAACACCGAATCCCGTCCAGCACCGGTAGCGGCAGCTGGACGCAGTCGTGGTTTGGAAATGGCTCGCCACCTGGGCCACCCAGGTGCAGATCCCAACGGGCCGCCAAGCCCTTGGGTAAGGGAAAACGGGTCTTGTTGAGGTGATTTGAGTCCAAAATGAGAGTTGGCAAAGAAATACTCAGCCGATTGAGACAAAGAGAGCGAGAGAGAGAGCCAAATTCTCAGTGTGAAGGCATTGAAGTCCGCCAAACAATACTAGTTGACACGGCCATTAATCCTTTTTGTCACCGGTTCCTGCTGCTTTCAACTCCGTTCAATCCTCTTCTCTGGGTGATGGTCATCGTATCTGCACCCCCAAATGCACCCTAAACATCTTGGGATGTGGAGTACCCAAAGCCGTGTCGATTTGTGAACAGCACAGCTTTTGCAGCCTTTGTGGGGGCTTATTGATACCTCCGGAAAGCAACCCAACTGGTATGAGGTGACCCCACCACAATGGTGCAGGAGAGAAGTTCGTCCACCCACAAGTTCGTCCGGGAAAGAAAGGTATCGGTTCTTGTTTTGATGGTTGTGGAAAAACCTGACTCTGGAATATGTACATGTAACATGTAACATACCTGGAACCCCAAACGATCACCGTTTTTTGAGTGCCAATCAGTTTTGAGACGCCACATGGCATTGGTGTTCTGTTTTTGGGTGTTTGGCTAAAACGATCAAAAAAGATCAAGGACCGCTTTCGCAATGTGGAAACCTTGCCGGAAACGAGCTGGAGACACCCAAACGCTTAAAAACACAACACAACATTTATAAACACGACTCAAACGACTAGAAACACAACACAAACGACTAGAAACACAACGCCGTTGCGTGAACCACCTGAAACAACAACCAAAAATACAACGCAAACGATCAACAAAACGACGCGAACGCTCAACTTTATGGCGCAGCTTTGGTGTTGTTATTCAATACACTTTGGAATCCCTCGAGTGCCCTTTGTGACACCGGCACATAGGTCTTGGATTGTGTTTTTTGATGGTCGATCAAAAAATCTAAAAACGAACAGATTTTGGTAGGTGTTCCAGGCTCCAGGTATGTACATGCCTTCACTCCGAGAAAGAACGGTGAACATTGAAGAAGACTGGTTCCTTGTTCAAGAATTGTTCAAGAGATCCGCCATGTCCACAGGTGGCCGTGTGTCCATGTCATGTTCTTTGTTGGATTATGGAAACATACATCAATTCTTTTTGCAGAGTATTTGGTCTCTACCACAAGCAAACGGCCCAACGTGAGATGTTTGATTTGGACCAATCCATACAGTAGTTGCTTCCCCATGAGCGGTTTGGGTCGAGTGTAGCCTCGAAAACACCAGATCCAGGATGTCAGGACACCAGATCCAGGCCATGCTTGCCAGCTCGCCGCCAACTCCTTTGGCCGCACCGCACCAATGACAATAACGGTCCGCTGCGGGGTCCGCTGGGGGGTTCACACCGCTGCGGGGGTTCGTCACCCGCACTCTGTGGAGGGTTGGCACGTCTCAAGTGCGAACATCTGGCTGGATGCCCTGAACCAATCTGCTGCTGTCCATCACCAGAGAAGTTCCCGGCAAATTCGGCTCTTGGCTCTTAATGTGTTATCAAAAGCTGCAGTTGATTCACACATTGGTTGCTTGTCCCTGAATGTCCCAGGACAAACCTGCGCCGTCCCAAACCCGCTTGGAACGGTGCCGTCCGTCCGAACCAGGACATGGCCCCGGGCCAATGTCAGCCATACCGGGATGGCCCCAGAACCTGAATCCACTGCCCTCCCCTCCTTTCGTTAACGATCCCAACCTGATCGACCTCGACCTGTAGAAAACCCACCGAAATTTCCGAAGACCGGTTTTTGGGGGTTCGATGTGGTCCTTTGTAGGGAAGTCACCAAAACATTGGAAAAAGAGAAGTCAATCCCAACTGCTTGGTTGGAAGATCGTCTTTTTTTGGCCATCTTCCAGGTTGAAAAGTGGCTGGGCCATGTCAGATTCCAACCTTCTACACCTTACTGACTCGGTGCTGTGCGGTGCTGTTTTCCCATGTGCTGGAACCAAGGTTCCAGCGCCGGCGAAGCGGCTGGCTGCATAGCTGCATGGAGTGCCACTGGCGCTTGGGTGGGCTGCTGTACTGCGACTGTGCCAGCAGACAGTGGTGACGTCAGAATATTCCGGCGAAGATTCTGGATGTATATTACGCTTCTCAGGTTGTGCGCATGAAGTATGAGGTGCTTTGGCATGAAGTATGAGGTGGTCGCCAGCGGGTTGATCTGCTTTCAGAGACTCAGATGACATGTCTTTTGGCATGTCTAAAGTGTTTAAGCATGTCATAAGCATGTCTATAGGTCTAAGTGTCAAACCTGCCCAAATTGTCACAGCTTCTGCCGCCAAAGCAGGGCGACTGCAGATCTTCAGCTCTGAAGCCTGAAGCTGCCGGCCACAGCTGAGCCAGTTCGATGGGTCAACGCATCGCTTCTCAAAGGGCACAGGGGCACACATCAAAACTATGAATCTGCAATGTTTTTTGACATGCATGAGGAATATCAGGTGAATGCTGTTCATGACTTATGGTCTGTATCACCTGCAGCTTTTGCTTGTATCCTACGAAATTAGTGGGCAGGATTTTGTCCATTGTTAACATGTAGAAACTGGTCTAGGAGCCCACTAACCAGCAGCCAAAGGAAAGGCCATCATAGGCCATTCTACGTATCGATTGCTAGCGATCGTGGGGTCAGGGTTCGTAGCTTGCCACAAGTCAGTCTGCTCAGCTGCCGAACACATGCAAAGGTGGTGAGTCACGCAACAAAGAAATGAGAAGCGCCAAAGTCGCAGTAGCTTCTTTCCCCAAATGACACGTACGACTGCTGAATTTTTGTCTCCCACTGAATCCCCCACAGCCAGCGCTTTTTTCAGCTTTTCCATCAGCATGTCCCATGAATCAGCATCTTCGGCTCTGATCAGTGTCTTGATGCGCCAACCTGTCGCACCGAAACTCATGCCCGATGAGAGCTTCCAACCTTCTTCTGCCATTTTTTCCGGCCAAGCACTGTACGGACTGAGGACGACTGGGGCGAAGTCGCCTGGCGAACCACCATGGCAGTGGGTCGTTCGAACCGAACACCCACCATTGCCCATGCAAGGTGGACACCTTCGCACAGAGGAATCTGCTTTTTCATCTGTTCATCTTCAGTGGTCGACCAGGCTTTTGACCCACAGCCATACGGGCATCTATCTTTCTTGGTCTGTGCAGCAGGCACTAGGTGACCTGGTCCAACATTTTGTCGTGCATGACCATTCATTGCGGATGCGCACGTGGCATGGGCAGTGCAACAGCTGGCAAACTGCACACTTCAAGCCAACCTCAGCTTGCAAGAGAAAGAGAGACTTCAACCGAAACAACTGGAGAGGTCTCAAGTAACACCAAATTGAAAGCAGTTCTCACGGAGTTTGCACAGATTCTTGTATTGCTTCACGCTTGGCAAATCTCCTGACCATTATACATCCTTCTCGCTCTGTGTCAGGACATTGGGACAAGTTCTGATCTGACTATACGTGGCACATGAAAGCTAGGAGCAAGCCCCCCATAAAAATGACCGGGGAACAACACCCTTCGCAGAACATCTGTCACCGGTGCTTCTTTACAGACCTGAAGCCCAAAAACGGTTGACCTAGCCGCTGCTGAGGCTTGCGTCATGAGGATCTGGGTCCAAACGTCCCTCTTGGAGCTGATCGATCATGCCACGTCCCTCCTGGCGGCAGGAAGCATAGCGTCATTGGAGAATTACTCAAGCATATACCAGTGACTGCAACAAACAAAGAAATCTGTCGCATATGAGGGAATCGTACCAGTGTTGTCTTGGAAAAAACCAGCAACGATCAAGCAACGCCTGTGATTGTAAAGAACAATAGAACCTCAGTTGCGTATTGGCAGTTGGCCCTTGAAGTGGCCCTTGATACTCAACGCACGAGCAAGAATGCAACACACCATTTCAACCCCAACATATAAACTCCCAAGTCATCAACAAGGTCCTGCAAGGTGGCAGTCTCCACGGCTTGTCTGACAGCTGCAGCATTCCAGAAGCGGAGGTGAGCTGCGCTGGGTCCAGACCTGGGAGAGGTCTGAACATCTCAAAACATCTTCACAGATTGCTTCGCTGCTTCACTTGCTGGACCCTGTCTTTTTTGACTCCCATGACCAAACAAGGAATTAAGTCTTGTCAAGTAAGAGTGTCTCATAAGTCTCTCAAAGCTGCGAAAGCTTTTAATCTGACACTTTGCCACCAGTTTCTCCGAGATTTCTGGAGAGGATCCCGGCCACATCTCTTCTAGCATTGAATTCCAGCCTTGTCAGATGGCTTCACTTGCTGAGAACCATCGAGAAAGGCAGCCACGAAAAGAGGATCTGGGCTTTCGGCTTTCAGCAGCCTTTTGGCCGAGTGTAGACGCGCAAAATGCGCTGTGAAACATGCATGTCCTTGCTCAGATGAACGTCGCAGTGTCCTCACCCCAAGTTTGGTGCGGATCTAGCCATGATTGGACTAAGAATGTCTAAACAAATTAACTCGTGGAACTCAAGTCAATATTCTTTTCCCCTCCCGGGTAGCATATGTTCAAAAGGTGGAAAAACAAGCCCAAACTCGGCAAATTGACCACACCGAGCTTCCACGAGAATCTCCACAGACTCGCCTTCCTTAAAAAGGCCGGATGAGAGGTGGAAGAACATAAGACACATTTCTGCGTTTTCAACGTCTCAGCGAAACCGTGGGGAAGAATGAGTTCTGAACGGCTCAGGTCTGATGTCTTTGGCATTGGATGGAGGTCTCATTTGACCACTGCGCAGATGTATCGAGCATCGGACGCAAGACGGAAGGGAAGAACTCGAACTGCAATCCGCGACTTTGCATACATTCAGGGATGGAGCTGGTTATAGCTGGTTACCTTCCTCTCTGACCCACACTCTGAGCTTCTGTTATATAGCATCTTGCAACGCATAACTTCGTCGAAACGACTCTTAACCTGTCTTTGTCGCAGGAAGTGAGACCTACACCCGCTTGGTGACCGTTTTCATCTACATCAGTGTCTTCTCTTTTGATACCTCTGTGCTCACAAACATCACAACTGGTTTTTCTTCCTGGCAAGACAAGTGATGCGCATGAAGACGGAACTGCTGAGGGCTTCTTCCCCCTAAAAAAAGGCAGCATCCTCCAGCCACCGCCCCGCAACATCCTCCAACCCCCATCCAGCCAACATCCTTCGGAGGACGAGCATCTTCCAACTTCAAGATCTCCTTCTTCAGCTTCTGCCAAATCCGCACCGCCAAGCTCTCCGTGCTATCGGGTCGCAGGGCCAAGATGGCGCTCAAGAGGAAGGGCATCACCAAGGCGACGCGGCTCAGCCTTAGGCGCGACTGGGCGGCTGGGCGGCGGGCGCTACATCAAGAGCTTTCTTATTGGCACATCGTCGGCTCACAAACACTTCGTTTTAGATGAATTAATTCGTCGAAATTTGATGTCAGGAAGAATCTTTTGGATTAATTAGTCTTGCTAGTGCTGGACCTGGCACAAATTGTCACAAAGTCCAACATCATCCAACATCCACACGGCTTGCTTCTGAAACATCTGCAGCCAATCAGCCAGGTCTTATGGAAACTGAAGCTCACCGCCGCCACAGCGAGGCAAATGAAGCAGCCACACTGAAGAATGTTGACCTGCCGACATTGAAAACAAAGAAGTCGATTCACCTTCAGCCGTTTCTGCAAAACACCCTGCCTGTGGCTGCAAGAAAGGCTGAATCATGCCACTTGCAGCTGCCATGAGCAAGGTGATGGCCAATGTCAACTGCAGTCCATCTTCGCTTCCCACCACTGACACCAAGGCAACCGCTACCAACTTCTGGATTATTTCCATATAGAGGCTTCGAAAGCGAGTATATTTGGCGAGGAAACTCTTGGATCCAGCCAAGGCGCGATCGGAAGACTCTGCTTCTTCCAAAAGGTAGCGATCCATCATGGCCTCTGCTAGTTCACGGCTCTTCACCGTATCCTTCTTGTCCACCTCACCAACGATGCTCAGCAGATTGGTGACATGGTCGGAGCTGTCGTTTCTTGATGCGTCGCCTGGCTGTCAGAGGGGGGTTGCATGCGGTTTGGGGCACGACGGCAAGACGGCACGACATGCAAATGGATTGGATGATGAGTTCGTTTCTTGGTTTCAAGCACAGCAGACACAATGAGAGTCACATGACAAGGAAAACGACAAGGCAATATTCAAGGCGGCCTGCCATGGTTGCAATCACCATCCCATCCTTCAATACCACACGGACTCGATGCCCTTTCATCCGTATGGCAATGTGGGATGCTGACGCCGCGAGCAGACACCTGGCAACGTTGACTGCACTTTCTCCTTAGATTCACAAAGCTCAGGACATGTGGGAGACTTTGCCATGGGAGACTCTCCTCGAAGAAAACAACTCACTTTAGTCAGTTCAATCGGAGATGCTTGAGGCAATGGGAGAAGTGGGAGTAGAATCTTCCAACACTGCCCGATCATCCCGAGCTATGATTCCACAAACGAAATTGGCCGAACACAACCTGAAATCATTACAACAGTGCCGCTGAGCGACCTGCGAAGAGACCTTCACCATGCTCAATCGCAGCTCCAGATTCTCGTCCTCCGATGCTGAAGCCACCATGGTCTTGCCTGGTAGAAGGGCCAAATGCTGCCTTGTGTACAAGTAAGCCAAGGCGCAGGGTACACCAACACCGTAGAAGAAGGAACTCGCATAACCAATCGCGTCCAAGTAGTCCAAAGAGGAGTCGTAGCACCGCAAATGCGGGAGCCATTTTCGAAACATCAACCTCATGATGACTCGTCCCAAATCTGAAAAAATCGATTCCCCCAAGTTGCGACGATATCGCCTCACTACTTCTCGGGTTTTGGGTGGATTCTTGTTGGGTCTTGTGACATCTTCAGACATCTTTAGACCCTTTCGGATCTGATCGAAGCACCAAGAGTTCGCTCCTTGAATTCGAACCCTCTCCATGTCTCTTTGGTGCCAAGCCACGTTTCCGGAAGGTTGGTTTGATCGCCGCCCACTCTCTGGCAGGTCAAGAGCCTTGAAGCGCCGGATGCGCCGCCCACGTAAAACAGCGTGAGCGCCTGCAAAAGTCATCAAAAGGCAAGTCTGTGTTCACACACTTCCATCATCTTCGCAGTTCAAAATGCCAAATTTTTCACCTTGAAACCTACACACACCATCTGGATGATGCGCATGCATGGTCTCCGACGTGGTTTTCCGCCTGATGATCCCTCAAATTGCTTTCCGTGTGAAGACGATCGTCGATCATCTTCCCCACACGGTGAGGCCTTGAGTGCTGCGGCAATGCCAAATCCATGGTTGATGAATTCCATGGCCACGCAGAAAAGCAACATCACCATTGGAGCCACTGGTGCCACCACTGCAGAAGCCCATCGAACTGTGGCACCATGGAATTTGCATTGAAGGTTCAAAGCTCCTTTGAGACTCGCAACTGAGAGCTGGGATGCCTGAACACAAAGAGCAAATGAGTCAACGAGTTTATAAATGGATGCGCCAAAAGCTGCCTACTACTTTAATAACATGTGATTCTAGAAACGGCACCCCTCCACAGCCTCCACAAATGGCACTTCCCAGGAGGAATCTGCTGTTCCCTCTGGCTGCCGTTCGCCTTGCATCAGCAGGGCCAGGACGGCCCAGAGCTGACATGTTTGCAGAAGGACCGGGGCTTGTTGCTTCAGCTGTTCCTTCAAGGCATCCATGGCTGAAAAGGGAGCCTCTGCATCTGCTGATGTCCAGCGCATCCGCAAGCAGGCCAAAACCAGGCCAATCACTGCAACTCCAGCTGCCAATGCAGCTACTTGCCAACTGTGCAAACTCTGATCTTCATCTGGGCAGGGTTCACAAAGCTTATTGGAGAAGTAGTGGCTGTCCTGACAATCTGAGCAAAGGATCCCACGATAGCCAGCTCCACATTCTGAATCAACCAGGCCATTGCCCTGCGAGCTGTTGCATCTGATGTCTTTCGGTGGCAGGCATGCCACGGCCACCGTGTCGTTGGACGTGAGCCGAGCGAAGCCCACTTCGGGCGGAGCAGAGATCAGGTGCATCCCGTACTCGGAGCAAACCAGGTGGTTGGTGTGGCAAGGGACACACACCTCTTTCTCGCTTCCTTCATCCAAAGCGCTGACATTCGACGCATGCCCTGAGGAGCATTGACATGCAGGAGAACTATGTGAGTGGAAGGTCCCTCCGGAGAGGCAACGACAACTTGTCTTGCTTTCGTCAGCTGTGCTGCCCTTGGGGCAGGGTGTGCACCTTCTAGTGCCGTAGGCTTCTGCGTATGTGTCGCTTGGACATGTTGTGCAACCTACTCCCCTTCCAGCAAATCCGGGCGAGCAGCTGCAAAGCTCGTCTGGAAGAAACAGCGCAGGTGTCACCTGCAGACTTGTGGATTCAATGGAGTAGCAAGAGTATCCACCTGCGGTGTCAGAGGAATTGTGAGGTGTCTTATTCAATAAGCCCTCCAGCACCAGTTCTCGAGCTTCCTGAGCTTGGGATACACCCTAAACTGACCACCTTCAGAATCCACTGTATGTACATGGCTTCAAGTCAAATCCCCTCAACAAAACCAATTTCACATAATTTGTCACTAGAGCTCACACATGATGACAAATGCAAGGATTCCTGAAAATACTACGCACTATATAAATGTGGCAAGCTGCTGCCTTGTTGGATAGCTCAACATTCTGCAGGTCTAGGAAGGTGCCAGCTTTCACAGCTCTCCGTAGCACACCATCTGCGAAGCGCACCATGGGGTTCCCGGTCAAGATCAACACCTGCAGGTTCTCCGGCAGGTCATCGATCTCGGACACATTGTTGGCTGCCAGGTCCAGGGTTTGAAGGCTACGAGCCAAACGCTGACCCCGCAAAGACCGCAACGACCCAGTCAAACGGGAATTGGTGGCCTTGATGCTAGCGATATTCGGGCACTTGCGAAGCAACCACAGTAGGTCCATGACGTCACCCTGAAGTGGACATCCGCTCAGCTCCAACATGTTCAGCTGTGGCAACCATGTGACATCCTCTTCAAGAGAATTGAGTAATAACAATTTTTCAAGATCACCCTTATCTCCAGCTGCCGGAAGGAATGATACTTCACTGTATGAAAGCTTCAATGTCCTTAGCATTTGTGCTTTCCCTAGCCAGGAGGTGTTGAGCCGTCCTGAAACCTTGGCATGCTCAAGTTTCACGCTCGTGATCTGCTTCCAGTGCAAAAGCACCGCCATGTCTCCAGCCACGATTGTGTGGCTCAGGTCAATCTGCTTCAAGCTGGAGAGTGCTTTGAGACTGGAGATGTCGCCGGAAACGTCGCTGTCGCTCAAGGCAAGATGCGACATCTTAGTAAGCTTCTGCAGACCAGAGATCTTCCCGGCAACTGCGGTGTGGCTGAGGTCAAGAAACTCCAGGTCGAGGTGAAGATCGCTAAGGTCACCGACGACTTGAGTATTGCTGAGGCCAAGTCTGAATAGACCCGTGGAAGCGCGGAGACTCGACAAATCACCTGTGACCTTGGTGCCGTCGAGCTGGAGCCATCTCAGCTTTGTCCGGTTCCGAAGGCTGGAGAGGTCACCTGTGATGTTGGTGCCGTCCAGCACGAGGGTGTTCAGCTCGGTCAGGTTGCGAAGGCTGGAGAGGTCGCCCGCCACGTGGCTTCCGCTCAAGTAGAGGGCAATCAAGTTCGTCAGGCCTTGGAGGTGCGACAAGGAACCTGCGAGGCCTTCAGTGTCACGCAGGTCGAGGATCTGCAAGGAGGTGAGCTCTCCAAGGCGCTCGTCTAAGGCGCCGTGCACCTTCTCGTGGCCAGGGAGGTTAATTTGTTCGACCTCGCACTTGCTCCTTGGACGTACCGAGCGAAGTGCCCAACCGGATTCGGCTGACCACGTGCGGTGGAGGATGGGTGTTCGGGAGTTTTAGGACCGTCTTTCGGAGAAAAGGCTGAGCAAATTCTGAGCTGAGGTAGATGACATGTTGGAAGCTCTGGAGGACTTTGGGCCACGCTAACTGATTATCAGGTATATATATATATATATGATCACCATCCCAACATAAAGCCAAACCCAAGATTTTCAGGCAGTGCGTGCATTTGCCGCATCTACATGCAATCTTGTGTATACATACATTGTCAACTACAATCACATAATAGGTCATACATATGGGTGGCACAAATGTTCAGAATAACAATTGAATCAATCAACACCAATTTCAGGGAAGGTTCCAAATGATCTGCCACCGTTTCAAATCATCGACCCCATCAATGCCCAGGCTTTGCAAGACTGCTTTCAAAGCGGACCACTGCTTGCAATGCTCATGACCGTGGCCTGGAATAACGACTCGGTCGAAGAAAGATTTGCCGGGAAAGTCTATCAGGAAAGTGGCAAAGATGCAGTAGTGGTTGTCTTTTCAGCTATTGAGAAAAAAACCAGTTCCACAACAGTTGCTTGGACGAAATGGGTGGTTTTTCGGGTCTGACAAAGGATTTTTCAAAGCGGAAAGCGGAAGAAATCACATATTTTGGACATTCACACACACACACACACCAAAAGGGAACCTTCTACGCCAAACAAGCACCATTTCTGAGGCAAGACGAAGCGGCTGCCAGGGTCTGTTTCCAGTGCCTGGTGTTCGATTTTGGACCGTTCTGCATGGATCACGGAGGCGAAGAAGACGATCGCACTGCCAATGACCAGGCACCGCAAGGACATATGAAAGATATGAAGGATTTACCACTCATTCTGTCAACTCTGAGCCACCAGTGGCCTTGAGCCCGACATATTTTCCGGGATGAGGCAAGATGTCACAACTGACAGCCACTTGACGTGTCACGAAGGCTTTCAATGAAACACCTCGACTGAGTCTTCGAGACTTTGCTCAGCTTCCGGCTTGATGAGAATCTTAATCATTCTCATCTGCCCACTGCTTGGCCACGCATTCCTGATGTGTGTGAGTGATCTCCTACCGGTTGCAGCTCAGATCCAACCAAGTTTCAACCGGCATTTCGTTGAGATCAACCTTTTCAGAAGCGCTTTGAATGGCTTTGAATGATACTGCCGAGGCAAGGAGTTCCTGCCCAGTTGCCAGTGGCGTTCGCCTGCAGCCTGCGTCTTGGCTTCACGCACCGTCCGCGACGGCTGTACCATCTCCAGCGTCAGGCACTGGCCAGCTGATCACCCTGGGGGCAAAGGAAGATGTTCGGTCAAGCGCTGGCTTGGTTGGCGTAGTTGAAAATTCCCAAACGCATTCCCCATTCCGGAAACAGTTGGCAGGTAGCTTGTCTGCTTGTTTTAAATCAACATCAGTTGGTTTGTTTTACTTCAGCATCGGCTTCTGTCCTTCATTGGATTCTCCATCCTGTTGGCAGGTAGCTTGTTTGCTTGTTTTAAATCTGTATGCAAAAAGCTTCCATTCACCTCTGAAACGGAAACCGTCTACTACGCCCCAACAGCTCTGTGCCTCTTTGAAAGACTCTTTCAGCTTGTCGAGTCTATATATCTTCACCCAAAGGTGAGCCTGGTTGACCAAGCCAGTTCTCATGAGCCCAAGTGGGTGCCACAGAACTCTTGCCCCAAACCCACCGAAAAGGGGCTCAAAACCGGGCCAGTTCGCCCCGCAAGAATGAATGAATGAAGCACATTGAATTTACGCCTTTTGCAACCCTTAAGTGCCAACTTCACGAATGATGTTGTGACGAATAGGCCGACTCAACACCTTCCGGTTCCCCCTTCCGCTTGAGCGGCAAGGAAGGCGGTTTGGGCACGTAGCTCTCCACGGCGACGTGTAACGAGGACGAGGGCGACGCTTCCTGATGGGCGGCATCTGCAACCTTCGAATATAGACTGCACCATCACCAAGGCGGAAAATCGATCTTCTCACGGTGTGTCAGGCATACAATTTGCATATTTATCATGGATCCTATCAATATCTCCACCAAGTCGTGGGGTGGTCCGTGATGGTTTGTAGAATTTAGTGGTGAAGGCCCACAGGCTCGCAAATAGTACATCTGAAGCTTGGGGATCTGGAGTTGCTCTGGGCTCTGAGTTGGAAGACCTTGAACTTAAGCCACGTGGAGTTCATTCAGATAACACAAATTTGGTCAGGTGGTTTGACTAGCTCTTTGCCAGGTTAGCCCCATCCTAAGTCAGAAATCAAACAACTTTGTTCCGGATCTGATTCGGATTGCTTTGCAGGGGTCCCCAATTCCTCGAACCAGACCAACCGACCCAAATTCCTGATGTCAGGCGCTTCGCGGATGCGGATGTCGCAAACTTCGCCTGCCAGCAGCCCTCAGAGCCACTTGGCAAATCCGCCTACTCGGCTGCGCGTGTGGCGTGATGAAACCAATTAGACAGTTGGATGAAGTTGGATGTGTTTCTTGCAGTGAAGACCTCTGCAAGACCCCCGAAGCAAAGCAGGAGAAATCTAGAGGCATTGACGCGCTCCAAATGAGGTCCACATCTTGAGAGCACAGAGGACCACTTGGAAAAGAACACCATCTTTGCAAGGATTCAGGTTTGTCCTGGCAAGTGTACTACCATCGCAAAAAGGAATGAACATGCTTTTGTTACTGTGACCATTCGCAGTATGCCAAGGATTGATCTTAGGGAGCAAACTAACATACGACTCATCGTGCACTAAGCAACAACAAACTGGGGCTCCTATAAAACGCAAATAGGTTGCGGCGGGGATGACCTATACAATTCCTGTGAATTGTCCTTTATTCATGAGAATTGTACTTTTTGCTCTCTGAAAACAAATTCAAATGATTCATGGATTGCTCCTGCTCAAAGTAATTACGATTGGATCTCCATGGTTAGAGGTAGTGACACAAAGCAAGAGGCTTGCCCAGAGCCACGGAGTCAAGAATGGCCCATGGGTGCCGCCACTCAATAATCTCCGTCTCTATCCGGGCGGCACCCACCTCCTCGTCCAGCGGCATCTCGAGCGACGCCAAGGTGCTCCGAAGGCGTTCGAGCAAGGGGCCTCCAGGGAGCGTCGCGTGTCGTGCGCCGTCGGCGGCGTTTGGCGTTCTTGGCCAATCCGGTGTGACACAACATCTATTGTGACCAAAGGTGTTGGGGCTACCAGCCATTGAGGTGTCTAGTGTCTAGGCTCACTGGGCCCAAAAACGGTTGCAACAAATTGCTTCAAGCATGCATTACGTATATTCCCAAATTAGACAGCAAAGTAGATCCCCACTTAAAACATTTTGGTAACCGTTTCTATCTATTTGGGACCACTATATATCGTAATTTCATTTGTCCTCTCGTCTTCATGACCTGCCATCACTCCGCCTAGGGAGCTGGAGCTTGCAATCGCCTGTGAGGCCCAAAACAAGCGGTGAGGCTCCTGGAAATCCGACGACAGTTCGAAGGCACCGACTGAAGCACAAGACCATACCTGACCCAACGGGTTTGGTTCTCCGTCATTGATGAAGCGCGGAGGGCGTTTTGGTGAGTGTGTGAACTGGGAGATCTGCCAAAGCCTACCAGCACCTTCCACCAACAGGTCTCCGTTGCATGGAGGGTTGGGAAGGGCCCTGTCACAGGTTTCAATTGGTGACCTGGCCCGGGCCGTCGGGTGCTGGTAGGTGGGTGGAACTGAAACCTGGAACCCGGCGTCCTCGGACTTCAGCTGCTTCTGGATCACCGTCGTCAACTCGCGGATGACCTCCTGTGACGAAAGGCTTTAGTGGCTAAGGTGTTCAGGGTCGAACCCTCTATAACAGGGCTCCGGATTCTCGGGGCGGTTGGGTCACAGGCGGAGCAGGTCCCTCACTGCCCTCCACTGCCCTCCACTGCCCTACAAATACCCTCCACTCGATACGAATGGTGGACCGGGCAACGTCTGTCCGACGCCCCGGTCTCGGTGTCCGGTTCGCGCCTATCGCGTGTTGGGACTCCATCCGATAGTCCCAAACCTATCGGATGGGATGGTGTCCATTGACCAACATCGACCCATTAAAATCCCATTAAAATCGACCCATCACCTTATAGAGGATGGATTATAAATCACCTTTCACATCACATAAAGGTCGGTAAACAATCCTTGCATGGATTTATCATTTAACGACCCATAAAAAATCCCATGTATGATCATAAATCACCTTACAACATCACCCTATTCCAGACATGGATTGTTAGGATGACGCACTGCTCCAAAAACCTTCTACATGAATTTATGCAAGCAGCTGCTTCTTGATCCATGACACCGTCAATTCTCTGGAAATTGGAGCTTGGCCGGGACAACGGCTTGCTGAATTGCATCTTGTTGTGCACAAAGAATTCACTGACTCAGTCTTTTACAGCCTGTCTACCACGCAAGGTTTCCATCACGAAATTGGGACTTTCCAATAGTCCACAATCTTCCACAACTTCGCAGCTCTTGGTGGTCGAGAATTGGGTTCAAATAGTTTCGATATTGTTTCGATGTCAACAGCACAACTAGCACAACCCTAATCTTGCAGAAGCAAATGCTCCTCGTTCACAAGCCCCGACATATCCGATAGATGACGGAGTGGAAAGCTTTGAAAGGCAAGTTGTTTCCAGTATTCCAAGAATATTTGCCACAAAAATGGAACGCAACAGAGACTCAAAGAGAACAAGGTTCGGCACCCAGGCTGCAAAGTAATTGAGCATAGACATTGAAAGCTTGTGTTTTCGCGCGGGCTGGTGAGTTCGGGACATCCGGGAGCCATGACCCACAGCGAACATCCAGCAGGAACAAGGACGCTACTAGGGTGGAGGCCATCGCTAGTAACAAGAAGCTACTAAGCTAGGTTGCTAGGACGCTATTAGCGTCCAATCCGCTCTGATTCTTGACTTCCACTCCGATCCAGCGCTGTACCTCGCACCTCTTCCGCGAGGCTCGGCGACGGTCTCACAGCTCCGGATGCCCGGACGGCCAGGGTCACAGCGACCTGTGGCACCAACAAACGCAATTAAAATGAGGAAGATTTCGGAAGCTTCTCTTCACTTTGAAGGGATTTCTTCTATTTTTTCAGTGCTTGCAAGCTTCTCTTCACTTGGTGTGAAAAAAACATGATTCTTGAAGTGATCCTCGCAGTGATCTTTCTGACGCTTGCAATGGATCTGCTGGCCACACTCGGAGCTTTGTGTGGTCTCTGCTGGTGAACATCGTCTGGTCATCCCTCCACACGCCATCGGCTCGCTTGCCGGGGTCGCTTCGCGGCCTGAGCCAATTCTCGATAGCAAAGGACCTCGGGTCGGGGAGCCCGCGTCACCAGGACCCCGTCCGGACGCTTCGTCCCTTGAGGTCCGGGAGCCCTGTGACACCATGGAGTCGTCAAAGGCGTTCTTTGGAGGGAACTGAACACCAGTGCCGTGAGACCGAGAAGCTTCTCGGCTTCATGAAAGAAGCTACTTGAGTACTGGTCTGTGTAAAAAAACACATCCATCTGGTCGAGATTAATGAACCCATCACAGATCTTTACAGCCTTCACCTGGACGACTTCCTTGGGTTTTATGTCTTTCAACAGTCCTTTCAAATTCCTACAACATCATCTGGTGACTGGTTGGTGGTTTCAACATGTTTCAACTCCCTTGAACAAATATCAGTCAGTCTGTTCAATCATCCCAAGTATGAAACCACCACCCAGTCGTCCAGAGTGTTAATCAGTCCCATTATACGAACATCTGCACTCCCAAAGCAACGCCCAAAGCACAAGGGATTGCCTGACATGAAGAACACCACTGTGGCCAGTCTCCAACCAAAGGTTCAAGTATATTTCCCCCATGGCCAGAAGTCTAGCAGTCTACCTCCAAACTCCAAACCTTCCTATTCCGAAGCAAGCCCCTACATGACTTAATTACATTGTTACATGGCCATGGCCCATGGCTGAGAACTAGGGTACTACCCCACCGCGCCATGAACATCACATGAACATACATCGTTGGTCCTTTCTCTTGAACCGAACATCGCCCCCGAACACTGTCACCATCTGCCCCCTCATCGCCCGCCAAAGAGGTGCCCAGTGGCCAGTGCTTCTTGTTTCTCGGCCACGAAACGCTTCAGTTGCCCAAAGAGCTCCTCCGGCGTTTTTGGGGATAGTCCAAAGGACTATCTCAGTGGTGTAAAAGACGTGCTGAGGAATTGGGCAGTGGGGAACTTCTCAGGAATCTGCTGCCAAAGGCTCGGAAGGAATATGTGACCAGGAGCGGTGGATCCGTTTTTGTTTCTGGCAAAGGCTGGTGACAACACTATCGTCCAAGCATCTACGTCGAGGGGATGAAATAGTCAGGATCGTCTTCATCAATTGAAGTGACAACACCAATCTGCTGGCAATCGAAATCCTGGGAAAGCTATCTGACTGAAGGTTCCACTGACATTTCAGAATTCTGGAGAGTGTGAACTTTTCGAAAAGAACAAGTTCAAAGAAACCCTTAAAGCGTCAAATGATCAATGAGTATCAGAAGCAGGGGTCTGTCTAGATGTGTCTAGTCAAGTCCATCAATTTCAATGGTCTTGAGATCTGTTGAGGACATCCAAAAGACACCATCAACTTCACAGATTCAACTTCACAACCACAAGTCGTCCCACACGTCCCGTCGTCCCTTTCGGTCCTGCCTGGGTGGAGTTCTTCGCCGCCTACAGGCGCGGAGAACTCAGGAACCGGGTGAGCCAAGGAAGTTGGTCGTCCTTTCCCGAAGATTCAAGACATAAAGAGTTGAGGTTGTTCCTCAACACTCATCAGGTGGCGTGGTTCTCGCCCAGTTCTGGAGGTTTGGCCGTGGTTGTGCCGTCCATTTTGGCCTTGCTGTCAGGTGTGGAAGAAACACATCACATTCAGTGACCAGCTTCGGTGTTGCCCGACATGGGGTGGCCCACCCTGAAAAAGCCGCCACAAGAGCCATGCTATTTGTTCCAACGGACCGTTTTCCAGTGTTCAACGACAAGGGGAACATTCCAATCCAACGGCTTGACCCGAACACGTCTGAACAGACACGACGGAACCGGCGCGGAGACACGCGGAGACACGCGGTGAAAGGCTTCTAACTTCTAACCGATGTGACCCGCGGTGACCGCGACACGCGACGCTGGCGGGTTTTGGGGTCGGAGTTTGGAGGCTCCTTCACCCCCCCCCCAAACAGTCCATGGGACTGGAAGATTTACCCGGATGAGTTGGGGAGGTGATTTCTTGAGGCGTTTTTCGGATCTCAATGTCGGTTCAATCTTCCAGTCCCATGGATGCTCTGGGACAGAGGGTCACCGCAGAGACGGCCCCTCCAACGACTTCGACTTCAGCTCCCCGCGGGAGCTGAGCACCTGAGCCTCTTCGCAGTAGGAGCGAGCTTGAAGAAGCGTCCGATCGCCGGCCTGGGCAGTGGAGAAAGGACCCCCAACAGCTCACCTAGTCGGGTTTTGGAACAACAACACCCTTCAAAACGGGCGGCCAAACGTGGTGGTGGCAGCTGCAAATGAAACTAAGAACTCAACTGGGCAGCTGTAAACTCACCGGTCACCTGCTAGGTAATCCACTCAACAAAAAGCAAAACACCTCAAACCAACGATACAACTGGAGAGGTCTATCCCGCCTCCTGCGCAAGGACTAGGATTTCTGGGCGAAAGCCTTCTGCCGCCTGGGTCGGGGCGTTGCTTGTCGGGTCGTGTCAGGACCATCCGTTTTGTTGTGTCGGAGCCGCTCGTGACAAGGGCCACCCGCTCGTGTCCAAGGGCCGCTCCTAGAGGTCATGACAGTCATGTCTCCCAAACAAAAGAGACATGCAGAATCTGATGGTTGCAGTGAGGACGACTCCGATGTGGACCATCTCTCTTTGATCGAACCAACGATCTCGACATTGAAGTCAAGTAGTAGTACTGGACTGGGCACTCTTGCCATTCGGTTCCTGTGCCGTTGTCAAAATGGTATCAGAATTCTCCAGATTGAGTGAACAAGAACTTCTGAGGAGCTGGTTACCGGAGAAGTAGTTGATACACTCAGCTGGGAAGGGGCTACCTTCCATCATTCTTATGAGTCAGACATCGATCATTAGAATAAATCCTATCATCAAAACCAAAGAACACAATAATATCCAGCTGGCTTTTCGATTTGTCCAACCTCCTTTGAACTCCCAACCCCAAACAACCTCATCCTGCGCACCTCATCCTCCGCGAAGCGAAAAACTCCAATCCTTCGTCCCTGCACCTTCGCACTGAAACACCAACCCGAAGTCCCGACGATCTGAAGAAGACCACCCGAGTTCGTTGCTGAAACCTTTGGTGGCGCCTAAAATTTATATTCCAAATTGATCGTCGAACTGAACTTCATGCTTTACCACTCCTTGTCATCCACACTTGACCTTTCAGATCCCATCAGATCCCTCTCCGTCGCCATGCTCGTTCCGCCTATCCCGCGCCGCACCCTCCGCCCATGATGGCCTCCAGCGCTGCGGCTCGCGGCGGTGGCGAAGAGGTTCGGTCCAGGTCCTGCGGAACCATCCGAGCTGGTGTTGCAACACGTCATCAAACCTTCAAATCACAAGTTCGTCTATCGAATCATATTTATCAAGGTGCTTTGTTTGACTTTTTTTTTTGACATATCCATCATTATAATTAATCAATATGTGTGATACATTACATGTGTGTTTTGTTTAACTTCTTTCACATATTTTTTGAAACATGCAGTGCAGTGTTTTTTGGTAACCAACCAAATCCACAGTGAATCATCGCTCCCTTAGCTTGGAGATTCTCCCTAGTGCATAAGCTTCAGTTGATTGCAGCCTGATCCCCTTACCAGGTTCGAAGCAACTAGCCCCGTAAACAACCTCTTCGAAAAGAGCCAGCAACGACTGTACGACTTCACCTGCATGAGAATCATCTTCTTCAGGGTCACTATGTTGGAAGAGGGTCGATTGCTGACAAGTTTAAAGTGACAATACAAAATCTGACTGCCCTCAGTTTTGTCTCAAAACAACGGCTATATATATATATATAACTTCATCCATCTATTCCTGCTTAGTTTGTGAAGGGACGTATCATCATCCAGCTGCCATGAGGTACAAACTTCCTTCAGACAGCCCCTAATTTAGAGCCTCTCCACAAAGCATCCCCTTAAGGACAAAGAAAGAGGACATACTGCCTCTTAAGAGTCTACAGGAGCAGGAATGCTTTTCAGGTCCAACCGATTTCTTCCATGCTTTTTTAAATAAAGAGTCCAAGAGCAATTCTGGTGTATTCAATGGTTCAGTAGAAAGGTGTGGCCCACATGTGACTCATCTGACCCTCTTGCCCTGCAAAACACGGCATTGACCATGAACAAAGGGTCACAGTGTGGAGTGTGGTCCGCATCTGGTTGTAGGTGTCTTAGCCCCAGTACACTTCCTCTTGAAAGAGTCTCCACTCAAAAATCCCTCCTGAACATCAACATGCTGCAGAGAGGCACCTCCAGAGATTGCTCGTGCTTCTCCAGCTTTGCCATCGACAGCTCCACACGACTTTCCAGGCGAAGGATTTCGTTGTACGTCGACTCCTTCGGCTGTGTCTGGCACCGAAAAGGGTGGCGGGGCCACAACTGAAGATCCCTTTCCACTGCACCAACTCGTGCGAAAGGTGTGGATAGGTGGTGTCGTGCAAGCTCGGTGATCGTTCAAAGCCTTAAACGGTTTTTGTCATGTCCGTGATCGTTGCGCTGTGACGGTTGCTCGGCGTGGTGTGACTGTTGTTGTGTGATTTTCAGAGCCACGTCTGCTTCACTGAAAAGCAAGAAGACGATCCGACCAGGAGTCGCGTCTGGGTCTGTGATGGTCTGTGAGTTTTGTAAGACTCTGACCAGCAAATCCAAGACTCTGCATGCAAGTTTTCACATGCAGCTTGTAAACCCCAGTCCTGCCGATGGCTTGCCGCATGCTGCTCAGCGAAAAAGCTCTCCATGTGTCGCCTGTGCGAAGGGTGCTGCTGAACCGGACGACGAGCAGAAACGGTCAGCAGAAAGCGAGCACGGGCCGCTCACAGCGTCTGACCCACCTGACGGTTGCTTGGCTGGTATATACATTCTAACCTACTGGTGATGAAATCCATCAATACATCGTCATGCATCATCAGTTCATAGAATTGGCCAAAACATGAATCACATGAATCACATGAACTTCAAATGAATCCCGAAGAGCTTCAAGCTGTTTTACTACACGACCCAATACCAGGTCCACCATGACAATTGAGTGGTGAAACTGGAGAAGCCAACCGCTCCCGGAGCTGATCCTGCAAGACCTGTGGACGGCCAAGGCCTGGCCGTTATAAACCTCTGGAGGGTGGAAGGAGCATATAAGTTCAACCTCTGTGGTTGATTGATGTGGATCTCTACATTGACTACCCTGGCTATTGCTCAAAGGAGCTAGAACAAACGAATCTAACATCTGATTGAACAAAGACTTGATCCATTCCAAGACATCCATCTGCAGCTTTGACATCCATACATCTGAAACCCAGTCCCACACGCCCGCCAGCTGCCTGCTTCGCTCGCTCTGCTCACTCTGCTCCTCCTTCAAGAGACCGGATAGCATGGTGCCTCGGAACACGTCCCGTTCGTCGCTCCTTGCGGTGTCGAAAGAACGCTCGGACCGAGTGACGACAGGTGACGTGGTTGGGACGGAACGAGGGAAACGGATCGATCGAAACGGATCGCTGCAAGCTTCCGAAGCTGATCGAAACTTGTTTGAGAAAAAAAGATTTGGAGATAGACTGATCGATCCTGGCTGTTGATGGCCCATTTCCTATCATCGATATACCTTCCAAAACGTGAATCAAGTCAGCAACTCGGTCAAGCGAGTCGGTAACCCAACAACTAGAGGAAGTTCTTGGAGTTCCAGTCCTATCGCATTGCCAATACAATGATCAGATGAGACTCATGACATGTCATAACAAATGAGACTCATTGTCATGAACTTGAACATGGTAGTGATGTCATGCTCAAAAGCAGGAATGTCGTGGTTGTGTTGAGCATCTTTAAGACCACTGCTTTCACCTTTCTCTTTGTCTCTCCCCTCCAGTTCTTCCACTTCCACCGGCTCCCAGCTGCTTTCTGCTTGGGCCGCTTTGAGTTCCACCGCAAGAAGCTCCTGGAAGCTCCAATCCGGGGACCAAGCGAGGAGGATCATAAACAGAAACCTGGTCCTTTTCGCCCCTACCCAAAGATATAGAACAATCACCAAAACAATCCACACATAGGAGAGATGATCTAGATCCTGGAGATCCAAGTTCATCGCCAACTAAGTCCCAAGCTCCGTGGGTCCATTCTTTTCTCGCGAACGGATCGCAAAGGTTGATCGACTTGATCGGATGTTTGCGGGCAAAATCCTCCGATGGATCGGTGTTCTTCGTGCCGAAGAGGCGATGGACCGGTGGCGAAGACGAAGGCGATGGACGTCGTTATTGGACGGGGGGTTTTCCACCGTCCATCATGGAAGTCAGACTGTATAATTACTGCAGGCTCACTACTAGTAACATGGAAGTGGAGAAAAACACCCATCTGTACAGGAAAAAAGGTCATCTAACGGCTCATGACTCGGCTCATTTTGGAAGTTCGAAGAAACTGGCTCGGTCTTTACCCTACCGGGCCCCTCAGTGGAACCGTTCGAAGCTCACCGTCGACCGTCGACGGGCCGAACGCCATGCTCGTGGAGCCATGAAGTGACACATGTGGACCATCATTGTCTCGGTGGTTTCAGAGGCACTTCATTTTTTGAAGTTGGGTTTATAAGGACCCAATCCAAGTTAGACATCGACTCTGGTGCCATCGACCATCTGAAACCACTGTAGTCTCTATGTGTGGCTCCAATGACAACATCGTTCGAGAAAGATGAAAGAGGTCAACGCCGTGAAGCCAAGCCCGGTCCTTCGGAAGTCATAGATAACAAATCAATGGCAATGGGAACCCTGGCAAAACAGGAAATGAATATTCGGACCTGGCTTCAAAACCGTTATTAATATGAGGTGCTTCATATTATACCCAAGAGGTTGCTAGAGTCACCACTAAACCTGCATGGGAAGACTTTTCACACATTGTCCCTACATCTAGGAACGAGTGGCTAAACCGCTACTAGTAACAAGGAATGAGTGGAAGGACCTTTGACCATTTGGAATCCTTTCGCACCAGCGCCTCCCGTGTGGCTTCTGCGCGGACGTTTGCGCACTGTGTGCGCGCCTGAGCACGAGCCTTTTCACATTCCAAGGCCGCAGCAGCCCGCTCCTCGATGGCCTCCCTGGCGACAGAGCTACTGGAGTAGGTCAATGGAGGTTCGTGGTTTGTGGTACGTACTGTGTGCCCTAACATTGGACCATCAAGGACCCTCTGTGCCCAACTGCAAAATAGAATCAGTGAATTGGTCAGGCCGAATGAAACATTCAATTTCATGACTTAGAGTGTCCTGCTGATGGTGTGTTTTAGCTATCCTGAAGCAATGCGCCGTGCAAAGCGATGAAACTGCGTCAGTTGTGATTTGATGATCCATGATGGGTCAATTGATCAATAGATTTGGGTCAAACTTTCAGCAGTTTTTTGTTTTCTCCGAGTGACCTCCCTCACCAAGTTCACCAAGTATTGGGTCAATGAAGAGTTTGTTTTGTCATGTTTTATCTCGGTGTTAGCGCTTTTTAGGTGTTGTTCCACCCCCACCTGGCCGTCACACTTTTGTGGGATCGTTTGTTGGTAGCCCGTTCGTCAATGGCCAGTTTGTGTGTAGCCTTCGGAATCCAAGGGAAGTACCTTCCGGAGCAAGCCACGGGAAAAGGGTGAAAACTATGTTCTTGGTGGCACATGCCAGGCACAGCTTAGCATGCCAGGCACAGGGCACAGGGCCCCTCAAACCAAATCGTTCCAAGTCGATTGGTGAGACTTGTGATGTGCTGCCATGACTTGCCATGATACCAAGAGAGGTGTTTTAGTGACCTGAAAAATCACCTGGGGCACCCAACTGGAATAGTCCTTTTCAGGTTTTTCAACCTCTGTTGGTACACAATTCTTGCTAGATTCTCGTGCCCTTCGTGGTATTGGGACTGTTCCAAAGATTCCTTTCCCGGGCGTCGTCTGCGTCGATGTCCACCGACCCTCAACATGTTGGTCCGAGCTTCATCCTTCTCGTCTGCCATTATTTCTCGTTTGTGAGATGCCTTTGTCCTGCGCCTGCTACACGAAAGAAAGTGTCTCGCAAGCGCGGGCGTGGTCAAATGCTGCTTCAAGCCTGGTGCATCCTCAACAAGCCACAGAAATTCATGTCTTCCTCCACAGCTCGTCTTAACCCTCCGGGTCCGTTCAGTCTACCTTCCCCGGTCCGGTGCTGTCCTCAGCCGGTGTGGCCTCCCGCGCTGCTCCGCCGCGGCGAACTCCCACTGCAGGCGCCGGAGGCCCTGGTCGATGTCCTCGTGGACGCCTTGCATGGAGGGTCGGCCAGAGATTCGATGGGTCAAGTAGGAAGACCTCCCAGTTGGACCCCTGAAAGAAGGGGAACTGGACCCAAATTCCGTTGGGTCAGGGCAGGTCTCCCGAAAAAAAAAAACAACAACCACGCACTCCTAGGTCGGTCCAAATGACTCCTAGGTCGATCCACTTGGCAACGAAGGGGGAAACCGATCAGGCTTGTGTTCTGGGCCCGCTTTCCGGGTCCGCTGGGTGACTAGGATGGAACAGGAGGAAGCTGCTCTTGCATGACTTGCATGCATCCATTTTCTCGTTCCCGCTTCCTGAGTCAAGTCGTAGAAACCACAGTGTGCCATCCACGCAAAGATGAACTGGATGAAACACAATCTGGATTGCTACCCTGTTCAGTGGATGATTGCTAACCTGTTAAAGCCTTAGCCCCACAGCTATTGCTGTTTCGAGCCTTCAAAACCAATGCCATCACAATCAACACACTCAGAACGGCTCAATTGGCGAACCGGAGTTCGTCGATCCTTGCATCCTGGTGCCCGAAAATGGGAAGTTGTCAGGAATCCCCCGTGGTTCATTTGGGAAATCTCTGGAAAGTCCCCATTTTCTGCAGCCAGCATTGAACCGAATCAACAATGGGTGATGTAGATCAACATCGTGACTCGAAGAAGTTGCAACGCACACACACACACAAACACATAGCCGCTGCCTTGAAACTCTAGTAATATGGGATCGACCAGCCCAACCAGTGCTAAGGGGAGGCACTATAAACATAAAAACCAATGATTGGAACACAAACTGAAAGGCTCAACACACAGGCTTGTCTTAGACCTGATAGTACAGAAACATTGTGTGCGTCGTAATGATAGCAGCTTACTTCTTGAATCACTCGCTTGTCCACTTTGGGTTAAGATTGGAAGCGCCAAACAACACTCACCTTTGACAGTTGCTGAAATGAGTCAAAGCATGTCAAAGCCAACCAAGCTCACTTAAAAGGTGCTTTGCATTATTGACTTGTCAGACCACACAAGTCTTTCGCCTGCAAGCTCAGAAGCTAAACCCAACTCCAAACTCGCCTGTGAGCGCGGCAGGTGTGGCTATGGTCGGCGGGTGATTGCAGCATTTTGCAGTGAATGAATCATTGCGTGGTGACCACCGACCATGCACGGGCGTTGTACAAGAAACGTGAGGCAGTTTTTGCTTCTGAGCTATTCCCCACAACATGGAGCCCAACATTTTTTGGGGCGAGGTGCATCAGTGCAAGGTAGAGATTCTAATGGTTGGTTGCTGGATGGTTGATAATGGCAATACAACACTTTTCAAAATGACAAGGTGATTGGGACATATTGGGATGTTTGATGTTACATCCCTTCCATACAACATACATGAATTGCTTTGTTCCCCTTCGTACCAGGAAGTTGTCTACTTCTACATCCCCTGCTTGGCTGACGGGTTCCATGACTTGGACATGTCAAGCATCAGCATGAGAAGCTTGTATGAGGTTGACCAAGGTTTATGACACCAAGCTGAAATCCACTTGATGGTGTAGTCTCATGTCAATCCACCAGGCTTGTAGTTAAATGTTTGGGTGGATTCTAGATATGTGAAGCCTTCACTGCTGCAGCTGTTCAGCAGTGTGCTCTCTGAAGTTGTGGCTTCCTTGTGATCCAGTGAGAGTGTTTGGTTGGTTGTTCTTTTCTGAAAAAATGAAACCTTCCAGTTCTGCAAGTTTCGAAGCACGTAGCAGCCCACTGTCGCAAAACCCAAGCACTTATGTCAGTCCTTGCTTCCGGAGGCACTGTGCATGGACGTCGTTCCAGCCCATTCCCCCGTTCTACGAGTCGGTCGAAGTGCTCCGATGCTGCATGCCGCGTTTGCGTAGTTGCCATTTAGGAAGGCATCAGGCAAGGTGAACAAGCGCAGTTGCCGTCCCAAATCTGGTGAAACCAGGCGCTCTTCGCTAAACCAGCGAAGATCGTTGGAAGCTCAACGTGTTCGGCGCAATGCGTGTAATGGTCGGCCAAGGCGGACGAACTGCCCCCTTTTTTTTGCGTTTCTTCTCTTTCACTCCAGAGTGTCCACCACTGCGACAGTGAGCACAGTGAGCACAACACCGCTTGGAGCCGCGGATGACTTAAACCTTTGATTCAGACTGTGGCAAAAGCTGTTGCAATCGATAAGCAAACGCAATCGATCAACATGAAAGCATGAAACACATTGCCACCAAAGAACATTCACAGCTAATCTCATACGCGGCCATATACGGCCATATGCATTAAGCATATATACTATGTTCAACAATGCAATTGATAAACATAACTATGAAAAAAGAAACTATATAATTACCATCCTGTAACCACTCCCAAACCCATAAGGTTAAGCTTTAAGCATGACGGATCCGCAGGCAACCGGTGCGGTCCACCAAAACATGACAAAACATCTAATCCTCTACGTGTGATGCTACACAAAAAAACAAAACATCACCAATCAACAAAGGCAGGACAAAAAGAACACACTCACTCACTCACTCACAACCTATAAGCTGACAAAGTACGATCATCCTACCCAACCAGTCATGCTTACAGCTCAGTTGCACGTTACATCTGCTCTTTCACGTCTTTCCGTGGATCGTTGACCTCGTGGACACACAGCGCACGTCTTGCTGCACGTCTACCACACCATCAACCGAACGTCAACCTCAGCGACCCCACGGGTCGAACACCGACACAGCCCGACGACCCGACGTAGCGACGTGTCACAGCCCAACCTGCAAGACTTTCAGCTGCTCCAAGGTACCTCACGACACAGCGAAGCACCCGTTCACCGGCAACCAGGAGCACGGCATGCCGAGCCGGAGTTTTTGCTTTTTCAATGTTTTTTATGATTGTGATTCTTACTACACTCTGGAAGACTAACATGGACCCTGAAAGCCACTGGTTGGTCGAGAAAAACACTCTTCCAGGGGGCCATTGTCAGGGTCTATGTTAGTTTTCGGGAGTGTATTTACTTTTTTTTTGAGATGGTTTGGAGATGTTTGGAGGCAGTTTTTGAAAAGCACCTAACATTAAGTCAGTGAAATGGCGGTGATTTCTGCCATTTACGTCTCTTGTGAAAGAGACGTGAATGCACGTCTACCGTCCGTTCCGCGGAAGGCTGGCCCGTTCGACCTCAGCATCTCTGTGCCGGACCTGAAGGACGAACCCCGAACCCTGCGGTGAAGGACTTCCGAACGCGAACAGAGGGAGTTTGCCAATCTCCCGGTTTTCAAACTCCAATTGAAGCTTTTAGGAACAAGTGCCTTACTAGTAGTAACAAGAAGCTATTAGGAACAAGTGCATCGCTACTAGTAACAAGGCACTTACTAGTAGTGCCCTTTCAAACTAGAGGGATTGCAGCTACTCCGTTGCAAAGGACCACATGGATCCCCCAACCCCCTGGTTTGGTCTGAAGGAAAAAGGGTCGGAGCAATGGATTCAACAGGTCAAATCGCAGGGTTCCCTGGGATCGTCTGCATGGGGGATGAACAGATTCGCTGAGGAGTTGTTGGCTCAACAACCACAAGCTTGCTTTTTACCGAAAGAGGTTTCGCCCACGTGAGCAGGGCAAACAATCCGAGTCTGGGGTTCTACAACCCTGCCTGCACGATTAAAAAGGAAGTGTGGAGAATTCTCGGAAGTGTAGCCTTATAAAATGCTTTCATTGGAAAGAACCTGTTTTCAAAATTTAAAAAAAAGTCAAAAAAAAGTCAATCCCAAAAGTCAAAGTCAAAAAAAAGTCAAATTGAAAAGTCAAAAAAAGTCAAAAAAAGTCAAAAAAAAGTCAACAGTCAACAAAAAGTCAAAAACAAGTCAAACAAAAACTTTGCATAGGCAAACAAGTCAAGGAAAAACTTGTAACAAGGCAAATTGCATCCTTTTTGCTTATGGCTTATGGCTTTCAGCCTATTCAAAATTCTAGAACCTTTTGGTTGTTCAACTTTCACCTTTTCCAGCCCCAAGCCAGCCCCAATCCCCTACCCCAGAGTCACCTCAGAGTCGCAGGATCCCTACCCAGCCCCAGCCACTGTCCCAGGGTCTCTTCAGCCCCAAGCCAGCTGCTGCTCAAATTTTGGGGCAGGTTGCTGCCAGGGCCAGGCTTTGGGCTGGCTGCGGCTGGCTCCTGGCGGAGGGGTCAGGTTGAGGTCGAGCTCAGGCAGGCTACAGGCGGGCTGGGGCATGCGGGGCTGGGCCGGCAAAAAGAAGTCAAAAAAAAGTCAATTGGAAAAGTCAAAAAAAAGTCAAAAACAAGTCAAATGTGCGGATCCTAGCCTTGGCGGATTACTGGAGGCAACAAAAAGTCAAAAAAAAGTCAAAAAAAAGTCAAAAAAAGTCAAAAGTGGAAAAAGTCAAAAAAAAGTCAAAAAAAAGTCGAAAAAAAGTCAAAAAAAAGTCGAAAACAAGTCGAAAAAAAGTCAAAAAAAAGTCAAATGTGAAAACCAAGCGCGGATCCTAGCCTTGGCGGATTACTGGAGGCGACAAAAAGTCAAAAAAAAGTCGAAAAAAAGTCAATTCTGCTCGCGACTCTGGGGCCGGACAGGGCTGGGTACTTGGGACTCTGGGGTGGCTACCAGGGCCACCAGGGACAGGGCTGGGCTGGGGCTGAAGAGACCCTGGGACAGTGGCTGGGGCTGGGCAGGGGTCCTGCGACTCTGGGGTACGGGGTTGGGGCTGGCTTGGGGCTGGAAAAGGTGAAAGTTGAATAGAATTTTTAATTGATTGAAAGCCATAAGCCATAAGCAAAAAGGCTGCAATTTGCCCTGGCTGACTTATGAGCTTGTTACTAGTTTAGTTCAATGTTGTTGTCCTCTTTGCCTGTGTTTTCCATATATATATATATGCCGGCTTTCTTTTGCTCCTGAGTCGCTTGACTGGACATTTTTATTTCTTTGTATTTTTTTTGAACTTTTTTTGTTGACTTTTTTTGACTTTGTTTTGACTTTTTTTTTGACTTTTCAATTTGACTTTTTTTTGACTTTGACTTTTCCAGTTGACTTTTTTGTGACTTTTTTTTGACTTTTTTTTTAATCAAGGATTCTGGCCTTACCATATGAAAGCAGATTATAAGTGTAGCCAATTCTGTAGAGCATCGAATACAAAACTTCTCCCACTCTGAGCACTGCACCTTTTGGGTGCCATCCTAAAAGCTGCGTCGAGCGGCACAGCTAGACGCCCACCACAATGCCAGCCAATGGATCCGGTAGAAAAAAGTGGGATTTGCCAGGCTTTACAGTGTCTCCAAAACACCCCCCGGTGGCTGAGCCACTACTCGTCGAGAGTTCTTTTTGTAGCACCCTTCATCCCAAAGCACGCAAGGGCATCACAGAAACATATGGCATACTGACCTAATAGCGATGGCCTCCAATCTACTTCAGAGATTCACGTACCCAAGAACCCTTGGACTCTGCCTCAATCCCCACTGGTGTGGTGTCGGGTTCTTAGAGTGACATGCCACCCTCGGAAGAAAAAGAAGAGCGAACCAACGGTGGCTAAACCCAAAGCTAGACACTGGAGGCACTCAAGTATATCTTTTTGAGAAAAACAAAACGATCAAACCTGCTTTGATCATGGTTGATCCCTCACCAAAAAACAACACAGCTGGATGCCTTCAGCGATGTTCTCACGGATACTGCAGGTTGCCTGGCTGCCACCCCCCACCCCCCCGCTGTCGGCGATGCGCGGTTTGGCCGTGCGGCTGCTGTTGCTCTCGGCCAGGATCGAGACACCTTGGGTGAGGAAAGGTGTCTAAACATGTGAGTGAAACACAGCGAAACCTTTTTGTGGTTCTGTATATTTGGAAGTGTCGAAACGCGGCAACATGTTCCTGGTCTTTCTTTATAAGTGGCAAGCGACATGAGTAGAATAGCGCCTCAGAAGTTCAGCAGCTAGCATCTTAAGTTTGTCACTGATGTTAGGCAAAGTGTATTCACAGTTGTCCCGGGTTCGGGTGCTAGCGTTATACCAAACAAACGAAAAAAACCTTTAAGACCATGTCAGAAACACACACACACACAAAAGGAATTGAAAACTTGATTGAGGGTTCAGCACCCATGCGGTTGGCCATTCAAGTTGGTTCCTGAAACTCTTTGGCCAAATTGGAAACAGTGACAACGTCCTTCTTCTGAGTCCTTCAACCACATCATACCAATTCACAACACTCAACTAACTTCATTTTTTAGTTCTCCTTTGGGGAGGTGTTGCCTACCAGCTCATCTCTGGTTGGTCTCCTACGAGACTCTGCTCGGGCCACACCGCGTGGTGCTTGTGGTTGTGTCATCACTCTGCTGAGGTGATCGGCGTTATGTGACACGGTAGAGGTGCCCGCTACTTCTACACTGGCCCTATTGGCCTGGGAACCGAAAATGGTTTGTAAACTTTTGCAACTCAAAGAATCTGGAAGTCAAACGGTGAAGCGCTCAACCACTGAGAATTCCTTGCCCAATCAAAACAATTCTTTTTAAAACAAGAGACACGTGGCATACACAAGTTCCGTCTGGCAAACTAAGACCAGGTGCCAACAACGACGTCAAAGTTCCCAAGTCATCCAAGTTTCATCTGTACTAAGTAGACACAATAAATATTGAACTATGCATCGTGTACATGATGTACATCGCACTATCTTTTACTGAGGACATGTCACAATTTAATATATAATGCATGTATAATCGCCGGATATTGATCGTTGAAACTACTGCCTAAAGTTAACTTTTCACCCTTAACATGTTTTTCCCCAAGTCCCCAATAGTCCCCATTGACCAGAGCCATGCGTCGCTTCGCCGTCTCTTCGGCTCGCCGCAGAGCTGGGGACGGCTCAGCGGCATCGAGGCGCGCAGCGAGGGCGGAGGGGAGAAGCTCCTCGAGGAGCAAAGTGAAACCTAAGGGCTCCATCTGCAGGGAGATCTGAAGCAATAGAGAACACTTATATATTTTGACACAAATACGAAGCACGTGTATATATATATACTTTTACACTGTTTTCTACAAAGTCAGCTTAGTTAAAAAACGCCCAAAATGGTTGCTTGGAGTCGGTGGTCTACTATAGCCCAACGATGGGAGCCAAATGTAGGTACACTTTACTGAGAGGACGGCCCATTGGGACCTCTCTTTTTGCCAAACTTCATTGATTCTTGTACGATCTCGTCGCCCTCTGCCGTGGCGAGAAATGCTTGCTGCTCGGTCACTAAGCATTTGGTCAGCGTAAGAGCCAACAGCACCCTGGTAAGATGAAATCCGGCTCGACTGCCGACCAGTCGGCAACGTATTGAACCGTCATCATTCCAGAATGAATCGGTTTCTTCTCCCCAGGGCAAAATCCTGGTAAGGTGAGCAAAATTGTCATTTGCTCCAACAAGGCCACCAGCATGGTCCGGATCTTCGGCAAAAAGGGCTGGAGATATTGCGCACACCAGAACAAAAAAGGAGTCCCGGCAGAAAGCGGACGAAGCTTTCCAGGATGAAAACGAGCCTCTCCACAAACACTGGCCGATCCCACGGCTTCCCGTTGATGTAGAAGTCGTATCTGAAGGCTTCTTTGAAGAACCCCTTCTCCACCAATGCATTCAAAGTGACTTGCGTCCCGAACCAGCCAACCAGTGTAGGAATCCTCCCACACCCTCTGCTTTGAGCCGTCTTCTTTGGCCTCGATGTAGTTTCTGATCGTTCCTGTCGAGAGACATCGGACTGGAACCTTCCAGCCCTCTCTGGCTGCAGTAGTCTGACTTTCCTCCTTCACTCACCCGACTGAAGAAATCAGCCCTTTGCTTCAGGGGCAATTCCATCTGGTTGCATGCTGCGATGAAAGTTTCGTCATCGTATGACATCATGCGGTCTCCTTTTATGCGGCTGTCTTCTAAATAGGCCAGAATTGATTTCTGGTCTGATTCCATCTCCTCTTTGGAGTAGTCCGCTGGCAGGCTTTGCAGGTCATTCCTGTGTTTTTCCATGCGGCGAACAGCTTCTCCGCGTGGCATAAAAAGGCCATCCCTCTATTTTGAGTGATCGTTGCAAGCTCGGTTGAAATCTCAATCGAATTTGTCACTTCCTCCATTGTTGAGGTTTTGTACAAAGGCTTTGGAAAGTCAATGCCTGCATTTCAATTTCCGTCTGGAAGAAGGAAGTCATTGGCTTCTTACCATGAAGAGCTTCTTCTGCTCTGTCACCAAAAGTTTTCATGACCCTGAAGATCTTGCAATCAGTCCCTACTGGACCGAGGTATTCCTTGGTGAGTCCGAGGATTGCTCCTGCCATTTTTGATGACAGGGATCTGTGTCCTTCTCGTGCAAGGGCTCCAGGTGTTGCTATCATCATCTTGATGATGACTGAGTTCACTGAACAAAAAGCTTGCTTCAGTGCACTCTCCAAAGCAAAGATTCCATGGACTTCACACCATGATCGCAGGTTGGTTATCAGTTGCCTCCCTGAGCGTGTAGATCTTGCCCAATACAAGGCCCGAATTGCCCTCTCCAATTGAGATGGCTCGCTGAGTGTATTTCCATCCATCAGCAACTATGATCTTCTTCATGAGGTCGCCATACTCGATCGAGAGAATGTTCTCGTGGTCGAAGCAAAAGCCAGCCTCCCTCGGGTCGACTGTTTCCAGCGTGCCAGTTCATCCTGTGCGGGACCTCCAATTTGGTCTCTTTCTGCTTCAAGAAGAATCTCCATGAAGCATTGATGCCGCAGTAGCGGGTCGATAGGCTTTGCAGAAGCAACCTTTTCTGCAGGCCATATGGCATCCTTTTGCGGGAATTCAGAAAGAAGGGTTCATGGACGGCTATCAAAAAAGAATAATACAAGCTCATGCCATCCGATGCCAACTGCTCGTACCGATGATAGGAGCCGCCTCGGACGCGTTGGCCCTCTCTGGCGCGTCGATCACAGCACTGCCCACAAGTCGGGCACTCTTGCAAGCACAAAGGCTTGAGTCGCAGCTGAGTGGTTGGCTGGGCAGGGGAATTCTGTGGACATCTGAGGCTCCTTCTTCTTTTTCCTCTTGCCCAAGTTCTTGGCGCTCTTCTGCCGCATCCACTTCGCTCAATGCCCTCTTCAGCGCTGCGTTGCAAGCTTGTTGTCTGAGTCTAAGCAGCTCATCCAAGCACTTGTAGTTGATGCTTTTGACCTCCTTGCCAGCACGTCTTTCCATGGTTGCTCCTCTGAGTTGTCAGAGTCGCCCTCCTTCTTTGAAGGCAACTGTCCTTTCCCGATGCCAACAGGCCGACGATCCGCGCTGCTTGACTTCTTCGCCTGCCCTGTTCATCAGACAAAGCTGGGATATCTTCATCCAGGCCGTGTCTTTGGTACGACGTCGCCATGAAAGCAATGCTGTACAAGATCTGCTCAGGAACAAACGGTGAAGTTTCTTTATATGTGTAAAAAGTCGTATAATATAGAAGCAACATATTTGTAAGATCTTTAAAGTAACCTTGAACTATCTAGAAAAACACAAAGAACATATAGTTGTTTTCGTTGTGCAAAGTCATTTATGTGCACGACGTTTGACTCTTTCCAAAAGCTCTCCAACATCCGTCCGACAACGGCCGACGACATGACCATGGACGGCACGACGACGACCTGACGGACGGACTGCTGACGACAAGGATGGATGACGTCAAGCAAGGAAAACGGACGTAGCTCCTTGTTCTATAGTAGTAATGCCAGGAGCGCCCCTAGTAGCGTCCAATCGCTACTAGTAGCGATGCCCTTGTTACTAGTAGCTTCTTGTTCCTAGTAGCTAGTAGATTATACATACTTTATTCAGTGATGTTTGGGTTCATATTCACTTTGTGTACCTGTAAACAGTTGCATTGCTCCTTGCGTTGCATTAGATTCGTTATTCAAATCTCTTTTTGTAATGAACGGTGTCATATTACAATGAAATCTACAATCCTTGTCTATAAATCCATCAATTGAATTGTCTTTTCCAAATTATGTAAATGCAAAATACTATCAAATACATTCAAATAGAATACATCTTTCCGATATTTTTATTGCTTTAACATTTTATATGCACCATTATGACGCAGGAATATTATATGAATTAAATCGCACTTCATTAAACTTGTGACATTTATTGAATTTTAATCTTTAAATGATTTGTTGATTCGTAGTTTTCTTTCATAATTATCATATTTTCTACAGATGTTAAAACATTGCACAAAAACTATTTCGTCTGCTGTTACAAATATTTCTGCTAACTACTATATTTCAAACATAGTAACAGTTGATTAAACAATGGACCTTGTGGGGCTGATTGGTTTCTCGAACCACTGCTTACCAATGGGCAATACATGGCAATAAACTTATACTAGAAACAAACAACCTTTGAGTTCGCTCGTAAAACTGATCTCGTGCACACATACATCTTTATGACCATACAGTATAGGCTAGGACCAGGTTCAATCACCATGTCAGCATGGGGCTTGTGCCTTTTTTAAATCGCCAAACCCAACCGTGGCATGTGGGCAAGTACATGCACCAAGGTTTCGTTTTGTTGCAGTGTACTGCAACCCTGTAATTCCTTTTGCACGGCAATTCCTTTTGCACCGCATGCGCCCAAGGAGTAACCCTCCATGCGTCTCCATCAGTAACATTGCAACATCGCACTACCCACAAAGACTCTGCTGTACAAACAGTGCATACAGGGCTACAGGGGAATGTTGCACCTCTCCACAATTCTGAGAGAGTAGAATTGCATCCCCTACCATTCATGGAGGCCAACTTCATGAGATAATATCAATTTCTGTTCGATCTTCCCGAACAACAGCCACTCGCCCACGAGCAAAAAGAAACCCGCACGGCCACGCTTCTCGTCCGTCCCAAGCCACGTTGTTGCACGAAGACGTCGATGCGTCTCGAGAGCTCCGCGAAGAGCTCGTCGTGGAGCTTCGTGCGCTGCGTCTCGCTGCGCTCCTGCGACGCAGCGGTGGAGTGGTCGACGGGTAGAACCGCCGATCCGAAGAGACGAACAGCTTCCGAACCTCCAGTCACCTCCCTGAAATCACAAGTAGAATCCAAAGCACCGATTTGGAGTGTGTATGCATGGCAGAACAAAAAAGGTGGAATCATGGAGAGTCACATTGAGATGAAGACTTTGGTTTCTATCAGAAGGACTGGGAAGCGATTGATTATCGTCTCAAAAAGAAGAAAGGTTGGGGTGGAGCGGAAAGGCTGGCTTCATGCTTGTTGCTGCAAGTGCTCTCAAGGAGAGTTTGTGACGATGCTTCAGAAAGCAACCCCCAAACCACATGAATTTGGCTAAGATGGCCACATATCTTACCGCCAAGCCGCCAAGCAGAATATCTTACCATCAATCAATCCAACAATCATTGGAAGTGGACCCTTTGGAAGCTTTTCAAGTGTGTTTTTTTCCCCCAGAGCTGTTCTGCATCCATGTTGGATAGAAGGACACGGCACAAAAAAGACTGACCACATACTGCCGCTCAGGACCGGGGGGCGTAGCGTTTCAGGGGCCACAGCCTCCCCTGAGCAGAGCCCCTCTAACTCTTCCATTGTGGGTCCATCGTGGTTCTCAGCCTCCGCTTTTTCAAGGCGGGAAGATCGAACCCACGATGGCGCCATACCTTTGGTGAAAACACCTGTTACGTGTGTTTACACCGGTGGTTCCTGGGGTCGATGGCTTTGACTGGTGTCCTTTTGCAGGTCCAAAAGGTCGAAAAACACACGTGCCAAACCACACGTGCACCGCATCCAATACGCGCCCAGGCCCAACTTCCTGGGACCGAAGGAAAGCAACATCGGCTTGCCCAGGTGTTCCGGAGGTTCATTGCCCAGGTGTTGCCCAACATGGTTTTCTGATTGGGAGTGTAAGAATCTCGTTCAAGACCCAGCTGTTCCTCCAAACACGTCAAAACATGATCGCCTGGAGTGTTCGAAGCTGTGATCGAAGCACAGCCTTGGTCATGCGATTCGTGGAAAGCTGCATTCGCGTGGGCGGAAGAGCAAAACTATACATTTGGCGCTCAAACCCACAGGTGTGGAAAACCAATGTACCAGAAGCTGAGGGTCCCTCAGTTTTGATTTGTGACTCAAAGAAAAGGCATCAGAATGAGGTACAGTCCTAGCCTGTCGCATTTGCCATCGATTTTGGACAAAACAAGGAAACTCCCTGGTTTCCCACGGCCCAGGGTTCCCAGCCAACTCTCACTTTCTTGGGGCACGTTGTTTTTTTCGTCGTCGGAAGCAATCCAGGGCAAGTGTGCAACGTTGGCAACACCAATAGCAATGTCATACCCTTTTTGGAGTACTCTACATATTTGACCTGCTGGACTTCATGATGACCTGATGTAGTATTCTTCGTAGGAAAAACTATGCGGCGATGCGGTGATCAATCTATGCACGACCGATTCGTGTTTGAAAGCACGGATCCACCAAAGCACCGTAGTTCAAACTACTGTAAATTATTAAAATTAAATTGTAAATTAAATGAAAACAGATGTCTGATAAATTTATCCCTTCCAATCCACAAAATCCACAAGATACTATTCAGTGAGTACTAAATTCATTTGTGGCCATCCCAGTGTCCTTTTGAGCATCCCAGTGTCATAGGGAAAAGCCTATGGGTGATTTGGATAACAGGTCACAACCGAAAAAAAACATCCTGCATGAGGGTCGCTGTGTCTGTTGTTGACACGGGGGACGGACAACTCACACATCACCTGGTATGACAACAGAACCATACCAAAACACTTACGTTGCATTAAACAAGTAGTCTTAACAAACCGAAGGACCACCGCAAAAACACCTTCTATCTGACCCATTTCACTGACCCTTTCACCGTCTCAGTGCCGTGCGCCGTGCGCGGAGCGCGTTTCTCGCTGCCGACCAACCAAGTGTTCGTCCACATTCTTCACCGACGCGCTCAGCCGCTCCGACAGGTTCTCCAGCTGCGAGTGCATCCGCGGCACGGAGGAGCCTCGGAGAAGCGGATGAGATGGTTTGGGCATCGAACACCAGGGGAGAGGAGAGAGGAACAATACAGTGCTTTCACTTTCCGTTTTGCATGTAGCTTCTGCGTCGGTCGATGAAACGGACTGTTGCGCCGCAGTGCTAGAGCAGTCTCACGGCACAGATGGATGAAATCTATCCTTGAAACACACAGGTATTTTGGAGTTGCATCAGTGGAGCCTCTGTCCCCCTTCAACTCATCTGCAAAGAAAGAACGAACCCAATCTATACGGTGATTCCTCGACCAGATGTGGGTTTACACAAGACCCAGTGGATGATGATGATGTTGCAGTCCTTTCCATGTCCAAGTCGAGTGATGCTCCCCTTTGACCGACCCCCAGACCGGTGACACACCGGCCTCCTCGACGGTCTCCGCTGAAGTCAAGGCCCAGCGGCAACGGAGCTCCAAGCGCGCCACGCGCTCCAACGTCTCCTCGAAACGTCCGCGTGAGTGGCGTGCGCCACGCGGTTCGGGTAGCCCTGCCTGCCTTTCTGGGCGAGTTGGAGGGTCCTTCACCTCCTTCAGCATGGCTAGTAGGTTGGAGGCCATCGCTAGTGTAGGTTGGAGGCCATCCAAAGGGCAAGAGGTGAAGAATATCGGTGACTTGAGCTTTGTGCGTGAACAACGATAAAAATACCTTGGGAGTCCGTCTGAGGCCGTTGGGAGTGATCTGCAATAGTCGGCTTTTCAAACGAAAACGATGTGGGAAACATAAGATAGGCCTTGGGTCTATCCTATTACCAGGGCCCAGTGGATGATGATAATTGCTAACTGACTGTCACAGGTAATAGAACAATATAGGCCAATCATGGACCAACGTTGGCACATGAGCCTCAACCCTAGTTATTGCTTACTAGCCACAAAATGAGCTCGTCAACAAAACAGCAATTTGAAGGTCCCTTATATGGCAAGCAATCACTGCACCACTACCGACAACGCACTATGTCTTCAACTAGTTCAAACACCCCGTTGGTTTGCAAAGGTTCATATAGAACACTAGCAAGAACCGTTGTGTGTTTGTGGCACCTCTTTCTGAGTGTTTTTGGAAGATGCAAATCTCCTCAACAACATTCAGTAGTGACAGGTAGTCTTGGAAGTCCAGTGCCAAACTGCCACTAACTCTCCCTTCTCAACAGCCACAAACAAAACACACCATCTATATATGCGTTATGTTTTAAGTGTTCTCACGAATGATCCAAATCCACTTGGCGACCAGGACCAAATGGAACACTATACCAATACGTAGTCGATTTATGTTCACTTTCATCTTTGCAAGCCTTCAGTCAAAAGGTCTCCCTGGACATACAGGGGGTCTTGACATGACCCCTGTGATTTGTCAAGAGGATATGTCCATGGATATGTCAAAAGCAAACAGTCTCGGCTCACCTCTCCTCCAAACGCCACGACCCCTCGGGTCGCACAGCTTTCGGCTCCACCGGCTCCGGGGTTTCGGCAGGTGCGCTGGGTGGCGCGCGGTCGCCGCGGAGCTCAGCGAGGCGCAACTGGAGCCTCTCCTGCGGTCGACGTGGTTTCTGCGAGAAGCGAAGGATACAAAAACCTCAGCAGGTGTCTGTGGTCTTGGCGGTGTGGAAGATGAGCGTGGGAGAAACTGGGAAAGGGCCTTCTCTGTCCATCGACCTCCGTTATAGATGGTAGAGTAAAGCTGGAGCTCTCTAAAGGGGCTCCTTCAACCTTGTTTCGAGAACGAAGGCTTAGCTGCACGCGGTTCGAATTTTTTGCGTCTCGTACTTCGACATGCTGTAGATCATGGAGCTCAGCCCAAAATTTGTTTCAAGGGAACGGCAATGTCTCCCTTTCTTGGGGTTCCCAGGCGTCCCGGGGGGTTCCACGCCCGGATCGCTGTGCACCGAGTCAGCACCGACCAATCGTCGTCCTCCAAGCGCAGCTGCTCTTGCCGCCGAACCTCCAAGTCCTTCGACCGACGAAGACAAACCTTCGCACGAGAAAACATTTTGGGCACATCCCATCACTCCAGCCCACCTGCCTCGACGAATTGACGCGAGTGGGAAGGCTTGGCTTGGGGAAAGCGGAGAAGATTGTCCACCTGCCTTGCCTCCCCAAGGGGACTCATATGAGAATTAAGTGCAGCGCTGGGTGATGGCCCCTGCAAGTTGGATTTGTCCTCTATTTTCCTCTGCTGAGCTACAGACCAGGATGATGTAGGTGGAAGTCATGCAGTTAGGAAAACACCTACTAGCAAGGACGTTACTAGTAGCTCCTGGCATCGCTACTAGTAACAGGTGCATCGCTCCTAGTAGCAAGGACGCTACTAGTAGCTCCTGGACACTGCAAAATCATCCAAACCAAGTAGCTGAGTTCTTGATAAGAGCGTTCACTGGGTTATCAGGTATCCAAGGCGTGGGAGGAGAGTTGTTCCCTCAACAACCATTCAAGAACATCAAGGACACTCATGACTCATTGTAAAATCCATGTCGGTTCGGGTAGACTGGACCTGATGGCTTCGGAGCTAAGGGCTCCCGATGTCGGATATGCTGCCCGAAGGAATCTGCATTGTTGACATCATCGTGTGTGTGTTCACGCCGGCTCTGCCCGACAGAGATATTTTGTAGGAAATAGGCAATTGATATCGTGTGTGTGTGTGTCAACCATTGTCTCTAGAAGTTCTGATTACCACAATCCTCATTGTCCTATGCAGGGGGGCGTAGCGTGTTCAGATGACTACGCCCAGCGAAGCTAGACTCTCCCGACTTTTTGATTCTATGGTCCTTCATGATAGTCCCCAAAACCTTTTCCCGCTGACCGCAGCTGAGCCACCGCCGCTTTCCGCGAGAGTTTTTGCAAGCTGTGTGCAACACTTTTTCAAACACCTTCAAGTGCCTGGACGCTTCACCTTTCCGTTGAGCAATTCCTTTCCTCAGGGATTATGGTTAACTGAAAACCCTGTGACTAAGTGTGTGCCGCTCTGTCGTCCCACTGGGTGCAGAGTGTGATCTCCCGCAAGGGAGCACTGAGACGATTGGGAATCACATATTGATTTGGCGTTTTTGCACTTGTGAATCAGGTTACTGGCTCGTTTCAGTCTCACCCATGAATCTTCTGACTCCTAAGCTGCCAAGCTGCGGAGATTTGATACTGCCGGGTTCACGGAGTCTTTTTCGTTCCAGAGCTTTCAAGGATCAAGTTGTTTTTGGCCGCTGACATTCACGTCGTTCATGTGCAGCTAGTTTCACTTGTACGCTCCGATGTTCATTTCATACATTTTGATTAAGCTTTTGAGGCGAACAACTTGTTCACCTCTATGTCCAAAAAGGACACGCATCTGACTGCAAACGATTTTTGAAGCGACCAAAAAAGACAGCTGTCATCTTTCGGAGCGCCGCTAAGCGGCTATGTGTGTGTGTGTGTGTGTCAACCTTTGTCTCTAGAAGTTCTGATTACCACAATCCTCATTGTCCCATGCAGGGGGGCGTAGCGTGTTCAGATGACTACGCCCAGCGAAGCTAGACTCTCCCGACTTTTTGATTCTATGGTCCTTCATGATAGTCCCCGAAACCTTTTCCCGCTGACCGCAGCTGAGCCACCGCCGCTTTCCGCGAGAGTTTTTGCAAGCTGTGTGCAACATTTGTTCAAACACCTTCAAGTGCCTGGACGCTTCACCTTTCCGTTGAGCCATTCCTTTCCTCAGAGATTATGGTTAACTGAAAACCCTGTGACTAAGAGTGAAACCCTTGGAGTCACAGGGAATCCGTTAATTTTTGCTAACAAGCAGGGGCGTGCAGCATCTGTGAATTACTGTGCGCAACCAAGCTATGATCACAGATGGGAAGGGATCAAGGACGCTTGATCCTGTACCTGCTTGAGACCACACTGACTCGAATGGTTCTCCCTCGCTCAGGCTGTTTCCAGGTTCATCAGGTGCTGTAAAGTGCGACTGAGTTTTGCAGATGTGCACGATCGCCGTCATCTTATCACTCTCGTCCGCTTTTCGAGCTCGAGTTTGGTGGATTTTCATGGAGGTTTCTTTGGGGCCTCATGGTCTGTCTCCGACATCCATTCGGAAGTACTGGCATCGGTCATGCTTAGAGCTGAGTTGTCGGCTGGTCTCATTAGTGACCTGACCTGGGACGTGAACTTCACCTTCTCTTGAGGTCGTTGCTTCATGAAGAAAGCAGTCCCGGGTTTGATCTCTTGCGTCTTTTTGGTTACCGCGCCTTCCGGCGTGGCGCTGATTCTGATGACCATCTCGCTGGTAACCTTTTCGGCTCCTGTCAGTCCCGAGGATCCCTTGTTTTTGGGTGCTTCGCTCGGAACTGGCGTCGTTTCCGGCACTTCCTCCACATCTGCCAGGTCTGACGGTTTTGACGCTGTCAGGCTCACAAGTGTCAGAACGCTTTACGTCTACTCACCCTGGTTCCTTAGGTTTTTACTTGGGATAGTGTGTGGCAAACCGCAATCAAGTCAGTACGTGTAAAAACTGGAGTGGTGTAGGGAGAAACGTTTTCAGAAGGAGTTGGTGATAGTGGCATGGGCAAGCCAACACTGCAGTGTGAGGAAAATGTTTGGTGTAGCGTCTGAAGGGCTGAATCCCCTCGTAGAAGAAGACCGAAGATGAGCTTCATGGCGAAAGAAAGGTCCAGGCACGAAACCAAGGCGCGTTCGGTAGGCCAAACTGTGTCCTGCAGATTGGCGGAGGACAAGGTGAGAGGTGGAAAAAGGTCTGAGGCAAATCCAATGATGTGGTGATAATCAGAATGGCGGGGACCTCAGGACGTATGGATGTGCAAGTACAGCGGGGAGTCACAACAGTAGGCGACCAAGTCTGAAGAAATTGGCGGAAGTTGAAGACGTAGTGCTCCAGTGTGTTGCTCTCGATTTCCCATGTCGAAACCGCTGAACGACTTAATCGAGCACGTCGACTGTCGCCTCATCCAGCATCTCTCATCCAGCATCTCTTGCAACAAATGAGTCCTGCGGCGCCGTTACCCAGTTGACCAAGTTAAGTGGGACTCATGGGCTCCACGCTCATACGAGAAGGCACAAAACACACACACAATATGGCCAAAAGCATTCACCCATCAATTAACCCCGAATTTTCAGCCAGTTTCAAGATGTTTGCGTTGGATTCATCCAATGTGCCAGGTTTTGGCGCTCCAGTCTCCATTGAGAGCCGTAGGCCGAGGACGATGTTTTCATCGTTGGTCTTAGACTGTCGCTGCTCCACAGGGGACGTTTCGGGTCCGTCCACAGACTTGACCTCGATGATCGTCGAAGAAGGTACATATAGAGGTGGAAAACACTGAGCATGTTGTTGCAACAAGGAATGTACGGAGGTGGCGGGTAGCTTGGAGGAAGTCATGTGAGAGTTGCAGCATCCGCAAGGCAGCATTGGGTGGTAGGAGGTGGCAAAACTTGAAGATGAGCTTGAGTTGTGAAGCACGGGAGCGCCAAGGTTCATCCACAAGAGATAGAGAATCTCGGAGGAGGCATTATGACTGCGAAGAAGCTTGGAGACAGGGAATTTGTCTATAGTATCACTTCCGAGACGGTGAGCTGAAGAACGTCTGCCGTTCGAAGAAGGTGTAGATCCAGTGATGGTGTTCCACCGAATGATGGTGTTCCTGTCGGCGTCCTTGAGGGCAGGAGCGTGGAGATGACCACTGATGCGGGCGAGGTCAACATCTGTGCTTTTGAAGATTTTCGACCAGGAAGACCAAAGGTAGGCCTCTTTTCGATTGCGGAAGCCTTCGAACCAAGCGACCGGCGACAAGGCGCAGAGTCCAGTTCTCTTGCGGCTCAACACATCGATCAAGCGAACATCCTCGATAGGTACATGATCGATCCGAAGATCACGGCTCCAGGCGATGGCGATGAATCGCCGAGGGAAGGTCAATTTGTATTCCCGGTTCCGATCCAAGATATCATCTGGCTGCCAGTGACTCGGTGGTTTGTAGACTGACTCAAAGGAGGAGGAGGCGAGCCTATCTGAGACCCCTCCCAATTCCCCCGCCCTCGGCTGCACCTGCCTCTCCACCGCTGTCCGCGCCGTTTCCGCGCCTGAGTGGAAAGGGGGTCTTTTCCACGACCTGGAAAAGCAGAAACGCCTGCAACCCCGCAAAACAATCCCATGGAACCATGAGAATTTGACTGGTGGTTTTGACAAGTTTCGGAAGACAACCCAGTGGTTTGGTCGTCCAAAAAGCTTGCACTCAGCAGCTTCTTTTTGGGCGAGTGATGTTTGCCTATTGAATAGAAGAGGCACTGGAGTTGGTCGTTGCTGAAGTGGTCGGCAAATGGGCTTTCCTCTTTTGATGTGGATCAACTGAATATAACAGCAAGTGGATGAACCCAAATCACTATCAGCGTACAAAGTATAATGCTTGGATGTGCCTCAGTGGCAAAGAAAACAAAACTGTAGGTTGACATTTGTCAGTGTCATTTGTGGGCAGCTTTCCACACAATTCATATACACAAAAAAACAATCCTTTTTGGAAGGAATCATTTCGCAACAGATTCTTGTTGGCAAACTGCCTCTCTCCAAGGGTAGGGTCCTCTGCCTTCAACATCGTCGAAACATGGCTGGGATCACAGGATGCGCTGTCTTCCATGTTTCTTTTCAGCCAAAAAAGAACGCCTTCTGCAGCTCTTCGTGTTTTTATGGCCAAATCAACCTGCAGAGATGTAATAGATTGAACAGTCTATGTCCTCTTTAAGACATAACTAATTGATTAAGTTGAACTTAAGTTGTATTGATCTTTCTAAATCATCTGTTCAGATTGATCATGAAGCTTCAACAACTCTTCCTAGCTTCCCCTGCTTCCGAAAACGCCGTCTTCTCGCCCAGGCTCGCCAGGGACGCCATGGCGGGAGATGGAGATCGATGGAGCGCCCGGCGGTCACGACGAGTGTTGGGAAGCCGTGTGCTGTGCGTCTGACGCGTGTTGCCTTTTCTGGGTGTGTGCTCTTCATGGAAGAAGCTCCGCAAAAAAGAAGGATATTGGCTGATTCTTATTCGAACAAAGAACGAGATGTCATCTTCCCATGACGATATGACAGCAGGTGCGGTTCACTAACATTTGGAAAAACTGCTGCCCTTTGCTCATGTGATGGACAACGGCTCAGGGATGGACTTCGAATCTTGTGCAAGTCACACAACATGTCACAGATTCTCCAGGAAGGGATCCTTAAAAAGAAGAAATTAGCCATAAACAAATGGTTCCGCCCTAAGCTTTCAGCAACAACTGTTCCTGAATTCCACATGCCTCACATGTGCTCCCTAACTTTCAAACCACTTTCTCCACCTTGGCAGAACTTTCTTCACATTAACACATCTGGTCGAAGGATCACGACCAACGTGGTTGCAAAGCCATCCACAACGGAGAGTCGTTTTTGGAGCCCCGAAAAACCCAAATCCACCGGTGGATGTCCGAGCAGTGTGGAGCATGTGGGGCATCTTGGATGTCCGAGCAGCATGACATGTGGAACATGTGGAGAAGCATGATACATCTTGACACCGGCACATTGGTCATATAGTTCTGATGGAGAATTGGTCAACAGTCATGGTTAGGGTTTTCGCAACAGTCATACCGTTTCAGTCCACTGTAGAGCACCTGACTCTACAGTTCCCCTTGTTGGAGGGTTTGGGTTGGGCCCTAACAGGTCTCACCATTGGCGACCTGTTTGTCGTCGGGTGCTGCTCTGGGTGTGTGACGCTCAGTCCTAGGTCTCGACCGAACCGAGCTCGGCGTTCTCTTCTCCCGGAAGCTTCGGAACAGCCAGGTTGACCAGTCATATCGGTGCCAGTCGGTGTCGGTGCACTGGGATGGCACGGCCAAAGAAGGCGTGCGGAACGACGCCAGGAAGAAGGATTTGAGGGCCATGCGGAACGACACCCCTGCCTTTTGAGGGCACGGACTCGGATTCTTGGGGTAGAGTATATGGTCTGAGGTATACTACCCCAAACACGACTAATGCGACTGGCCATTTTACCGATCAGGTGGGGTGGTTTTAAGGGGTCAATGTATGTAACTATGCCATACATGGAGTGTTTGAAACGTGGAACTGGTATGGAACTGTCCGTACCCTGCTTCATGGAACAAACTCTCAGAGATTGGATTTGGGTTGCAACTTCTTCTGCCAAGGAAGAACAACCAGGGGATCAGTTTCGCTATACCCTCAGGTGCACACTGCATCCCACTTTGCAGCTGTGGCCTCTGACCCCAGCAGTTTACACCTGGAGTGGGATCCACCAGTTTTACAAGGAACTCTTAGCAAGCTTCAGAAGCCTGAGATAAAAGGTCTTTTCATTTGCACAAGCACGCCTCTAAGATCCTTGCTTCTCCACGTGTTCCGGGGATCCCAAAACGTACGCCTCTCCTCCATCGAAAGCAACGCACCTTTTCATCGCGTCTACGCGAAAGCGGCCGTCGAATGTGTCGACAGATGGTGGACCTTGGCGCACAGAGAGGAGTGGCTGATCCAGTGCCGCTGAATCCCATGATTTCGCATGAATGGATCGGAATCACCCAAACATCCTCGAGGAACCAAGGTGGACCGAAACGAACTCGCTTTGTCCCAAAAGCAGAGATTGATGACTTGACATGGGATGGTGGACCTCACAGCCACTTTCTCCAAACATCCTCATGTCAACCCCTTGTCAAGTGATTAATCTCTGCTTGGATGTGGGCACCTTTTCTCAAGCAGATTGAGAAGATCGAGGGAATATTGTGGATTACACCAAATTGCAACAGCTCTTCCATCTCGCGAGTCTGTGAATCCAAATTGCCTAAAGCCCACATGAGGTTGTTTGAAATGTATGATTCCAGTCAGACTTAACTGCTTTCAGTTTGTGAGACGTTCGCTAGAAAGAACATGCATTCAGTGTTGCAGGTGCGTTGCTCGGTGCATCTGGAGTGCGATGCTAGACCCGACCCCCAGTCTCAGGAAGAAATACTGTATCTGCCACAAGTTCCAAAGGAGTTGTTTCTACACCATCGAGCCTTTTGTGTCCCTGGGTGTTTTGTGACCTCCAAGATCCACCCCAGCTTGGAACCTATGAACAACCTCATCTTAAAACATCTTAGAACCGTTTCGGGCGTGTGATTTCTGCGAAGCAGCAACCCAAACGGCGTTCGGTGATCGATCCCCCGAAGGGAGGCGGTACAAGTACCACATGACGCGGTACAAGTCGGCAGCACTTGCGGAACATGGATGCACATGGAGGAACCCTTGTCATGGGGCGCCTCATGAACCGGGGGTGTTCTTTTCAGGTCAAAGCCGTTGGATTGCATGTCCCAGGACCGGAAAACCCCACCCCCCGAGTCCTGCGACTCTTCGCCGCTTCGGGAAACCAGGAGCAGAGGCAAAGAAATCCTCAGGATCCTACAAGCTTCACATGTGAATCAGCACCCTCTTGCTGATGCAAAAGAATAGAAAGGTAACGTATTTAAGTTTATTCAAAATTGTCTGATGCTTCAGTAGAATACTTCGTGCTGGCATTGGTTCATCCACTGGTCCATTGGGCCGTCGGCGCGGGTCCTTTTCCTTACCCTCAAGTCGCTGGCGCCGCTTTCAAAACGGCTGCAGCACACCGGCAACTTTGCCGTATCAAATCGGATCCAGTAGGCCTTTGGCCGTCCGAGTAATTTTGGTGCTTGGTCTAACATCCCGCAAAGCAATATCTCGAGATGCAGAGGTCAAGACGAGGCAGTTGCCAGTCACCGAACATGCGGAGGTCGCTTGTACACCAAAGCGGCCGCTACCATCCAAAGCGGCCAAAGTTTCGCCACAGCGCTTTTTGGGGGTTCTTGCCGTGAGACCTGCCAAGCGAGCCATGAGGCCTGACCTTTGAGCTGGCAGCCGCCAATGGCGGCGGCGCGACAGGTGACAGGACTGTGTCTGAAGTTGGGTGAGGATTGCAGGAGCTGCTCACTGCGGAAGGCTGTGAAAAGCGTGGTATCACAGCCATGCGCCCTGACTATGAGGGCACCGGCATGGCTTCCGCCAAGAAGGTCTCCCTGTTTCTGTTCGGCAAAAGCCTTTATGCAAAAGGTCTGTACGTACCGCATCCATCTCAAGCGCATCTGAACCTCAAGAGGGTCTTGCTATCTGTGTGAGCTTCTCTCACACAAGCGATGCCCCAGGCATGCCACCCAGGCATGCGAACAAAAAGCTAGTTGAGAGTTGAGGCCAGCCCACCTTCAATATCCAACACACTTTGGAAGGATTTGGGTGATGAATCCTCCCCTTTTTGCAAGGTAAGCACTCAGGACCAGCCTGAAAGCCACGCAACCTGCGCGACGAAAGCACTCAGTCACGCGAGGTGTCTGGTCGTTTGGACAGTCGATGCACCGAGGGGGTCCGTGACCGTCTGGGTGGAAAGGGACGGAAAGTCGAGACCTCAAGGCCTCATGATCACAACAGCCCATGATGTGACGCATCGACGTTTCGACGCATCGACCTGGTTGAAAGCCTATGCTGCGGCTGAGGCAAAGCTCAAGCCTCAATCGATTGGTCTCGACTTTTTGAGACTTCGTTAAATGAGCGCCGGTTGTGGCTCCCACTCGGCCAACGCGTCGAGCCGCGTCCCCAAGCAGATCTGCAGAGTTTGGGTCAACTCCAGCTTGACCGCAGCGAGTGCATGTGGGCAGTATAACCTGGCTGCTTTCAAGTTTGCGTGTTTTGCATGGAAAGTCCCCTCTCTTCCGTGCTTTTCGTATACCTGCCACGGCGTCAGAAGTGCAGAGTCACAGTTCGTGAAGCATTGATGTCTCACCCAGATACTCCGTTCACAGCCCGACAGGTCCTGAACCAAACAACCAAACCATAGGGGTTTGCTGAGGGTCGGTCCAGACCCCCTGACCACTTCGGATTCGGGTGCCGCCGTCGCGTCGCAGCGGTTCGGGGAGCGCCGACGTCGTTCGGATCAAAAGGTGGAGAGGAGAGGTGCCATGTCCATCTCTTCGAGGTCATTTTATCGGTGGATCGGGGACTCCAACGGTCCAAGACCTTCACACCATGTGGCGTGGCTGGCTGGCGAAAGGCGCTTTGGGATTTTTTTACGTGGTCCTGCTTTTTCCTGGAAAAAGCCGACCTTTTGAAAGCCTAGGAAGCACAGCTGTCCCTACTTCGCCCACAAACACCCTTCATGAACGAATAGATACCGAACCTGGGAGGCGCTTGGAGGCCCGTGGGCCTTCAGACCCAGCCCGTAGACCGGCTTCGAGACCTGCCCGGCGACCGAGAGCTAGAGTGTGGAAGTTCCATGCTTGGTCATTCTGACACCTTATGGACCGTCACGGACCACTCGAAGTGTTCAAGTCAAAAGTCAGGATAATAAGTCGTTATTCCTTGTGAATTCATTGGACAAATTCGAAACAAAAACATTTGCTTTGAGGCCTTTTTGACTCCTCCAAAGATGGACACACACGTGTTCCGATTGCGGCGACGATGGACATGCACATGTCCGGAAAACACCCAATGCCTGTCTAAGATATTCCTCTTTGGAGGTTTAACATGGTTTAACACATGCACATTCAGACCTGGATGACATATAGGTTGTGTCATTTGAATGACTTTCTGGCGAGCCAACTGCATGTTGCAATTGGTGCAGCTTTTACAAACACTTTGGGCTATACTAAAATGGGGGCACAACTGGCGCACACATGTTCGGTAGCCGGACACCATTTTTCTCTGTGCAGTACTGTGACTGTGCTTTATTTTGGCAAACTGATGCACGATGCAACAAGGACATGGAAGAAACGCGACTGTGGCGACTATGCTGTGAAGAACACGACTTCTCAACACATGGCTGTGGCTCGACCTTGCGAAGTCATGGCCATGGTGGCCATGGCAAAGCTCTGACTGACTGAAGTTGCGACCGTGCAGTAACCTTAGACCAGACGCAAGGCGGGCGAACAGACCTTGCTTTCGACCAGACTGGGAGACGAACAGTGGTAAGCCTGTTCAGAAAGGCCGACAGCGAAACCTGTCGAGCAAAGCATAAGCTTCTTCAGAAAGGAAAACGACGCATTGCAACATACCGTGTCTACTTCTGGCGGTTTTGCTGGCTCGTCATTGCCTGGCGAACTCTTGGGTGCCACATCGTCGATGTGGAGAAGACGAAGAGAAGAAGAGATGGATCCCATCTGATTCAAGAGTGAAGAGATGCGGCTGGCGGCAAAGACACTGCCGAACATCATTGATGAGTTGTTACTAGTAGCGATGGCCTCCAATCTAGTAGCGTCTTTGCTCCTATACTACTCACCAGTGACTTAGGACTTGTCGGACGTATGCCAAAAAATATCAATGCCCCATCTCATGAAGAAAAGTACTTTTTGACAAGTGTTTGGTCCACAACTCCTATCTCATAAAGCCTAGCAAGGCAAAACATGTTAAACAAAAATGGTGTGCCCAGGGCATGTGTGGCCGGATGCCAACACATGAGATAGGACTTGTGCTGCTACCAGTCCATGTCCTAGCATGTCCTTTGATGTCCTTGGATGTCTGTGCATGGCTACATTATGGTTGTTTAGGCGCGTGGGCGGCACGACGTGAGATAAAAGGTGACTTTTTCACAACTGGTGTTTCTCTGTGACAGATTTCACATGATTGTGCACTTTCTTTTTGGGGGGTTAGCCGTCTCAAAACCTGGTGTCTTTGGAGATGTGCATGCAGCATGAGTTGGGACTTGTTGGCATTCTGCGTTATGTTACTCCTGTCTCATCATGGAACATCTGGCTGTTCTGAAATGGCGGGGTTCCATTTGGCCTCATGAGTTAGGCCTTGTGCTGCACAACTCCTAACTCTTTGGAGACTCAAAGCCCTAACTCACCAGTAGGCAGTATAGTAGTAAGGCCAGGAGCTAGCGTCCTTGCTCCTAGTAGCGATGCCCTTTGTTACTATACAAGGTGTTGCTTCCAAGACGGATCCACGACAACTTCAATGGTCGTAACCAACGTCTCACAGGGAGCAACAGTTGTTCAGTAATGCCTGTGCAGAAACCTGCCTCAGCTGCAGCCACGATTGCAGATTCGTTGGCATCCGTCCCACCATCCCTTAACATTCACCATGGTCTTGATTGGAACCAAACAAATCCAGAAAAGTCATCGGCTGGGGCGGATCTCTCTCAACATCCGACTTTTGGAGTGGCCGGATACCAAACATCTATAGGTCACATGTCGGACCCTGCCATGAGCTTGTTTGGCGACTCAGTTCCTAAGTCGGACCCTGCCTCAGTTTGGCACAGGGCGAGTTCATCCTTCCCGGATCCGCCGTTGATGAGAGAAAGGTCACGTGCTGCCACCGACTTCTAGAGACGGTTCAACAGATGGATCATGCCATGGTTGCAGTTCAATTTAAATACAAAAGACATAGATTCCCAACTGTTAGACCTTTCTTCCTTTTCTTTTTTCGTTAGCGATGGCCTCCACCCTAGTAGCGATGGCCTCCAAATAGCAATCATTCATTTCAGTCGTAGATTCCATTCTGCGACAGGGCAACCAATCGGCCAAATGTGCATAGGCCAGCCGACGTCGGCCCCGCGTGGTCGGTGCATTCGGCCAGTCACGCGTGGTGCCCCGGTGAAGAACGATGGGAGAACCGTCGTTGGACTGCGAAGCAATATAGCATGACTGCGAAGCAAGTGAAATTGAAAAACACCCATCCTTTTTCTCAACATATGGTTTAATTCGGTGTCAATGGTGTTTTCGTTGGGCCTGTCCTGTCAAACAAAGGCAGTAATTACGCAATCTTTTCCACCTCGCAACTCTTGTGCCACCACGAGAAATGAGAAAACGCAAATCCCAACCGCCCAAACTACATCCGACACGAAGAAACACCGTTTGGAGACACCAATTGCCCGCGATTCTGAGGGGAATGACTGTAATGTTGCGGACGAGGACCGCGATTCTGTGCGCTATGACTGTGCTTCAGCACCACTTCTTTGCTTCTAAATATTGCCAGTGCGACCTTTTAGATCCCAGAAGGGTGCCTTGATTGCCACCCCAAAAGAGGGGATGCCAAGCCAACAGTAGCATTCTATCCATCGTGACGTCACCGACGTCGTAAGTAGCCACCGCTCAGTCATCCAGGTTGGCATATGTGCCGTGAGAAAGAAGTAAAGCTTTCGTCTTCCCATGTGATCCACAGCTATGCGTAGCTATATGGCAATGGCAGACTTCATGTTCAGGTGTGGCCCCTGTCTGTGTTGGACGCTACCCATGTTGCTTGGGCTATGGCAAGGCCTTCACTTATCAAGTCATTCACGAGTGCTGTGGCCAACTTTTAGCACAACATGAGTCATTGAGGCGAGACATTGGCGGGTTTGCATGGCCTAAAACTACAGTCAGCAGCTTGGAAGACTGCTAAGGATCGGGCAAGATCAAAACTGAAAGCTCCTCCATAGGTGCAATATGCCAAACGAGATCAACAGTTCACTGGCTCCTTCGCAAACCTTTCGCACTCTTGAAGAATCATTGCAACTCAAAGAGCGCTTCAAATGAAATCGCTCATCCGAAGAAGAAAGCTTTCGGGAAAACTTCAGGAAGCAAGGGGACCAGCCTCTGAACCTGGAATGCCTTCACCAGTCGACCGGCTGTGTTGATAACATCTTCACTCGGATTGAAGAAGTGCTCTCCTTAGCCAAACATGTGAGAGGATGATTTGAATCATCTAATAGTCAGGCCAAACGTACAGCAGCGCAAAACATAGCTGCATTTGGACACTTGCCTGGCTCCAATCCAGAAGTCTTACATGTGCGTCTTCCCTTTGTTTCAGTTGCTTTGACCTTTTGCCTCACAGGTTCCGAAGGAGATCCCTATTTCAATTGAGGACAACCATGGTCACCAACCACTCCGCATGACAAAGTGAGAAGTGCAAATGGAAGGGAGGGCGAATTGGGCAGGGCAAACAGTTCCGTTGGACGAGTGGCATGTCCAAAAGTACTGCTTTGGATAAGTTGTACTCATTTGGAAGAAACGGGTATTATGTCTAAAACTGATGAACGACACTCCCTATTCGAAGACTTGGGTTTGACACCAAGCTAGCACACTCACATTCCGGCTAGCCATGCTGCATCCATCTG